TTAATATAACATGTATTTCGTTGGTTCGCTATAAACGGCGTATCACTTTTCAAATTGTTGCCACCAAATAATTTCACCCTGTATTATTTTTAAAGAAATTAAATAAGGAAGAATCTGCATGTTTGAATGTATAGTTCTCACAATGTAAAAAACGATGGTACTTGCAACCTGTGCAGTCGCACCAAGAGGCAAGGTAAGGGACAGAAACATTTTGGATTTAGAAGCACGATTGACATTACAAAATGGCAAAGTTAAAGGCGGATCGATTTTTTTTCTCTGTTTTTTTACACTAATAAGCTGGAGGGGGAATCATTCGTAAGTATTAATTGCTAACTCCAGAATACATGCTTTTCTTTCTTAAGGACACAAAATCATTGACGTAAGTTGAGCAGTTGTGGCATGAAAGGACTTTGCCCCACCCCATGTCGAAATGCCGTTCTAGTCCAGGAAACGCAAAGAATTTATGGCACCACATTTGGAAAGGAGAGATTTCCCGTTCGGCTTAGGGATCTTTGAATGAATTCAAAGTCCGAAAAAAAGGGGGAGTTTTACGACAGGCTACGAACACACAGATGCTCAAACATTAAGCGGCCAAATATTTCAGTTAATTTCCGGCTTTTTTTTCACTCATGGGGGTAGGAAATGGGAATGGATGAATATTTTTACTTGAAATAATGAGTAAATAAATATTTATCCAATTTTTCATATCAAAATTTTCAAAATATTCTCACATTGCAGATAAAATGCAGGTTAGGAATTCTTTAAAATCCCTAATCGAGAATTAAATCTGAAAGCACAGAACTTGTTTGAGGATTTACTTGATTTGCTTTAGAAAAGAGAAGAGCTGTAGTGTTTCTTAACCTGTAAATTACCCATCTACCAAAAATTCACACTTATCTGTAAAAGATAATTCTGAAGACATTAAATTTGTTTTGAAAGTAATATATTAATCTCTCTTCGTTTGAAAAAAATATAATAAATTACAATTTTTTTTAACAACGTGAAACATTTAAGCGTATAATTGAGTAATGCGCAATAATTTGTACGTTATTTAAACGGAATTGAATTATTATATAATAATAAAGCACTCGAGGACTATTTGCCTAAGGGGAAGAACGCCTTCATGGAGTACTTTCTAATCGTTATTTGAAATGAAATTTTACAATTTACTTTACTTTTGCTTTTAATTTACTTTCCACAGCATTCAGTACGTGAAATCATCAATAATAGTATAATAATGAAAATAAAAATGGCATCACACAACTAAAAGTATATACTACTTCGTAAATTTCGATAAATTAATTACTGAAAATATTAAACATATCAATGGCAGCGTTGCCCTAATAGTTTTAAGTTGCATTTCAACATCTGAAAGAACGCGAATTACATTGCTATTTTCACTACACAAACGAATGGAATATTTCAGAAAAGAATGCTCCCCCGTTATTGCAATATTTCAATAATTTTTGCAAATTAAAAAATTTAATTAACACGTTTTAATAGTAAATGATGCGATTTTCACTCATAAAATCCCTTTGTACATTATTCTCTTTCATTTCGGCATCACTGCATAACTTTTCTAAGACATAAATAGCTTCCGTTAATATATGTTCCCATACATTATATTTATTTTTTATATTTTTGTCATTAATAAATTAATGATTAAGATAAAAAATTGATACTGCTTAATTTATAAGCAATGTAAAGACTGGAAATCTGAGGTCATTAATTTCTGAGACATAAATAGCTTTCTAAGACGCAAATAAAACATAACAATAATCATAAATATTAATGCTCCTAAAATAAATCCGCTTTTCCTAACTGATTTTTGCTTTCTGATCCACCTGGGGTACAACAAACCTATTTTCATAAATGAAGTTTTGCGCATTTCTCTACGAAGTACGCAAAACTTGTTTCATACAATTTTATTTTTACTAATTATGAAAAAAAACTTTTATACTTGTTTCCTAAACAAGTATTTATGTGTACTACTTTTAGAATCCATGCGACAGAGTGTGAGTACTCATCTTCAAATATACGTTAGTATCAATAAGCTTAACTCTAAATCTAAATTATTAAACATTTCTGGGACCTTGAAACTTGGAAGGGAATCGTCATATTTTGCTACAGTGGGTATTTAAATTTAGATAATTTAAAAATTTCCATTTCGTATTACACAATCATTTTCAAAGCTCTTTGGATACATATCAATAAAATTTGTTTCTACCTGTTTATGATTTTTCATCGTAAACTTGAAGAATTTCCTAAAAATATTCGAATATCCATAATTTTTACTGTTAAATATTTAATAATTATACATTAACTGAAATGCATTTATAGTACAGAGGAAATGTAGAAAGATATTGCAGGTGATGTATTATGTATCATTGGAATATGACAATAATAATAGTACAATTTGACTGAAAAAAAAAAAAAAAAAAAAAAAGATGTTTCAGCGTTTTAAAAGGGAAATGGACAATGGACATCTTTACAGTAAAGTAAAGTCTTGGATGAAAGTTTTACTGTGACTCAACTTGGGAAGACACTGGAAATTTATAGTGGAGGCGGGGTCCCTTTCTTCGTTAAACAGCTGCATTGAAGTGTGAAACGCTACCCCTCAAGTATACTTGTAAATTGGCTGATGACTCAGAACAGTAAACTGAACTTAAACTTGCTCTTATTCTAATGCCATTTCTCTAGTCTATGGCGAGAACAAACAGAAGTTTTTCTTTAAAATTAAATTTCAAAGTGATCTCAAATATAATTCTTCATTATAAAGGTAAGTTATTGATTTGTAATATCTAAATTAATCATAAACTAAATTCTTATAATTTAAAACTTGCTAAAAATTCAATTCAGCTAAACTTTTAATCCATTTATCTGAAAAATCCAAAATTATCACCATTAACAATGCAAATGTCTACTAATATTAATAACGTATTGTTATATTAACATGAAATATTTTATGATAAATATGAAATATAAATATAATCTATGTTTCCATACATTAAGAAACATCATAACAGGCCAAATTTTTTAAACACGTCCTGCGCTATAGTGCAGGATCGATCAACCCATCAATCGGCTCGACAATCGAAAATCAATCGACTTGAATGGAGCTCATCAACATCTAAAAAGCATTTCTATTAATATGCAAGATATGAGAAACAAGTTTGAAGACATTATGAAAGAAGCTGAGTTTATTGCAAATAAATGGGGCATATAGAAACTAAATTTGAAAAATAAAAGAGAAATAAAGAACCTAAAACACTGTCATTGTTAACAAATACGGAAATTATTAATAATGTTTCAAAAATACAGAAAACATATAAAGAAGACTTGCACTGGAAGTACAACTTTTATTATTTATAAATACTTTCAGAACAGAAATCCAAAATTTGAAATCCTTTAAGGATTTAGCTAAATTAGCAATGGTAAAATATTATGACATGACAAGCAGTTATTCGGGAGTGTGCAATTCACTTATATTGTATTTATCATTACCTGTAACCACAGCCACGAGTGAGAGAGGTCATTTTCACTACTGAAACTAATAAAAACATATTTAAGAAACATATATAAGAAACAGCATGACACAAGATCGGTTGTCAAACCTTTCACTATTGAGCGTTGAAGCTGAGATGGCTGAGAAAATGGACGTCCAAGTATTGATAAATAATTTGCGGAAATGAAGGTTAGGAGACGCAAATTTTAAAAGAAGGATTTTTTTTTCTTTATGATGAATTTTGGCCACCAATGTTATCATTACACTTATTGAGGGAGGAAAAAATTAGAGAAGAAGAGCAGTACGGACTGAGGAAAATAAAAGGAAACAGTAAAAAACTTTATCATTCTTTTAGCATTTTTAATAAAAATCATGTATTCAAGTAGTTTAGTGTACCAAAAGGTTTTTTAAAAAGACAGAAAAAAACTTTACCATACATATTTTTTACAAAAATTGTATGTTCAAATAGTTTTCTTTATGAAGTTTATGATAAATATGTTTTATATTTAACAAATGTATCATTTACATTATTAAAAGTTCTTATTTATTACTTGTATATTATTGCATAAATCATGTTCGTTAGGGTAGAACTGCGCCAAATTTAAATCACAGAGTACTATACATTAATGTAATAGCCTTTCTGTACGTTTATCAATTATCTTGTCTGTCAGTTTTTATAATATAACTAATTATTTATAAGTTTGCTAACTTAAGCGAAAAAAAACTTAGATAGGCGCAGATTTTATATAAAAATTTAAAACATTAGTATGTAAAACTTCTTGGTTTTTAATGAATTTTATTTAATCTTTGGAGATTTATAAAAATCTCCAAAAATCTAGGCTTTCTACCTTATAAAAATTTAATCTTTCGGAGATTTATAAAAATCTCCGAAAATCTAGGCTTTCTACCTTTTCTTAATGCTATACGTCGACATGTTCCTTTTTTTATATAGACTTATTCATTTATTATCAGTATGCATCTCAGTGAAAGGAGAGAAAAATCTGTCTCTCGCACTCACACAAAAGTCTTAAGTAACTGAATTAAAATCATCTGACGTCAAATACCCAGACTAAAGCAAATTTTCATTTCACCAGTTGGTCAAGGGAAAATTTTCCTTTTTATTCTTTCTTCATGTTACGTACCTTTCAACTGGTTCCCTAAGAACGTGCTTTTATTTTTTAACAATTAATCCAGATGTGATAAAATCATCATGAAAACATTGGCTCCTGGAATCCTTGATTTTTTTTTAAACTTTTCGCGTTTTTTTTAAATTTATTTTTTTAATTTTAATTTTTTTTAAAGCCCATTAAATTTATTGGGAAAGGGGCCCAGGAAAATTTTTTGCATAGGGGCCCAAGAGTTCTAGTTACGCCACTGATTAAAGTTTATTCAGAGTTGGCTAAGACAGCATAAATCTTTTTCTAAATAAATTTTTCACATATATAGATATAATTTAAGAAACTGAAAACACTAGATATGCCACATATATTAAATTTCACTTCAGAATAATTGTTAGTAATGAGCTAAGAAACAGCAAGTTTACTTGAGTAAGAAGAATACTATCAAACAGTAAGTTAGTTTCTCCTTGGTCTTTAGTAATTTCAGCATTGGAGTGCATTCCAAAGACATCTGGCTTAGCGATAAGGGGTAATGTATTTGTGTAGTCAATATATGATTGGTACTGGAAGAAAATAAAATAAAATTGAAGTCTGTTTTAAGTGATAATGGATAAATATTCAAAACAATAGTTTAATAAAATTTTTATGCATAAATATTCAAAATAAATTATGGAATTAAATTTTTAGCAATAAGCCAAAGGTTGCACAAGAAAGAAGAACCAATCAAAATCAGATATTTTATATAGCAAAAATGGTCTCTAAAAACAGAGTTTTGATTTCACCGTATTAAATAAAAAATTAAAAACTTCAGAAAAGAGAGAAATTATAGAGACATTAGGTATTTTTGGAAGCAGGCAAGATGAAAAATTAGCGACGCCTTCGCTGAGAATTGAACCGCGGACCTCTGGATATGTGACCAACGAAGGCATGCTATGAAGGCGGGAGAAATACCTTATATACTCCCTCTTTTAAAAGGGCAACTGGGGTTTTAGGGGACCCAATCGCAAATTCCTGGGTGTGGAGAATCTTCATCCAGCACCCTTTTAGTTCAAGCACCACTGTAGGGACATTAGATATATTTTTTTTTTGAAGTATGCAAGATGAAAAATATGCAACACCTTCGCCGGGAACTGAACCGCGGACCTCTGGATACACTCCGAGCATGCTGACAACCACACCACAAAGCCATGCTAGGAAGGCAGGAGAAATACCTTATAAAATGACAAAAAAATTAATACAATTTTTTAAAAAATGAATTAATAAATGGAAAGCAGGGACCTGCTGCAAAGGACCCACTATATATCCTTGCCAAAATGAATGAGGGTCCTTTTTTCAGATTTTTATCTTCTATTTTATGAAAAAAATAGGCACACTTTCAATGTCTTTCAATGAACAATATCATTACTATTTTGTGTATTGAAATTTATTGCAGGCATGCATGTCAATATAAACTGCACAGTCATAAAAACACTTCAAAATGTGTATGCAGATAAATTAAATTGCTTTCAGCCTTGAAATAATAAAGTAATACACTGCATAATTTCTTTATACATTTTGTTCTTATGACTGACTTAACACTACATGCTTATCACAAGCTGAAGAACTGATTTATATATTATATATATTTTTTTATTCCAGCTAATGGGCATCTGAAAATAAGCATATTAATTTTTTTTTCAGAATAAGCTTCACAAATTAGTTATAATTATCATTATCCGTAATAATCAAAGAAAACCTGAATTTACCTTCAAATAAATCATTAAAAAGACATATTTGTTTGGGATTTTTCTAAATGCTGTTAATAAATATCAGGAGAAAATGTAACAAAACTCTTGAAAATCTTTACTTGTTTTGAATTCTCTTTTATGAATGAACAATGATAAATTTATGTTTTCACTCTAACCAGTTTGCACCTAGAAACCCTCTATTCTTGATATGAAATATTAATACTTTTAACTCTGCATATCTTTATAGAATTCTTCCACAGTTTCCTTATGGAAACAAATGATAAAGAATTTTATATTATTTAAACAGTAGTTTTATTTATTTATTCTTATTTCCTTTGTCCTTTCTTATAATAACTACTGTTCTGCGGTACATAGCATTGATATAATTTAAAAAACAAAACAAAAAAACAAAAAAAAAAAAAAAAAAAAAAAAAAAAAAAAAAAACCTTGATTTCTAAGAATCAAATTAATCATATGCCAGAAAATATTCTCAGAATCGAATTAGTATCACTAACCCCTCCAAAAACTATATAATAAAATGATTTAACAAAAACTAAAATATCTAATCAGCAAAGAATTTTATATAAATTGGTTGAAAAATGACTATTGGTTTTCAAGCTTATTCTGATAAGAACCAACAAACATAATTAGTATGTTATTATTTTGGTGCATTTTTTAACAAAGTTTAACAATTTTTTGCTGTGTGGTCACCAGTGTCCATTTGTGGAACTAATCTAATAATTTTACTGCAAGTGCCAAACAGATCATCTTTCCAACAAGGCGTATAACCTAAATTCTGGTGTTCTTTACAATTAATTATTAGTGTTATTATCAGTTACATTCTTCCAAAAATGAGCATATACAGGGTTCATACACATTTCTGCACATGGAAATTAAGTACTTTAAAGGACTTCTAAGGATTATAAATGAAAAAAATTAAAGACCTATCAAGCAAATAGGAACCAAATAAACTAAAGCAATTATCTAGATTCAAACTTGACTTTTGCAATTTCTAAGAATAAAATAAATCTGTAAGTTATTAAACACAATTATAATATTTAACTTAATTATAAACAAATTTAAGAATAAAATTAATAAATTTACTCAAGTAATAACCGTTAAATTATAAAATTTCTTAAAACGTTTGCATTTTACATTTAAAACAGTCCTACAAATGTTAAAGATGATTAGTCCTTTTTATTTCAATTTTACTAATTCTTTCTTTCATGCCTCATTTCATCACATATTTGCTCAGTCCAGAGGTATATGCAAATTTTAAGCCAAGTGGCATAAGTTAAACTGTGAAGTAAAATAATAATTAGCACGAATCACAACAGAATCTTGGCGCTTGCCACTGTATTTGCTTGCTTACAGGCAGAAAGTTGCTGATCAGTACCAATGTAAATGTCTGACATAAGTATGGCTGGTAAGTGCTGAAAAGTTAGTTGCATTTTGACTGACCCAGATAGAGTAATAGCTTCATAAAGATTTGCTGAAGTTGTAACCGAGTTAATATACAATATTTAATATAAAATTACGGAAAGCCACTGAAGTACTAGAGACGATATGCTGTTTTGTATTATAAGTCTTGTTAGCTGTAAAGAATAAATTTGTACATTACTTTTTTATTTCATGTTGTATCTCACATACACAATAAGGATTAAGATAGAATAACTCACCTCAATACATAGAGGTAACTTCTAAGGATGAGAAAGTGTGACTGGCAATGCTGAACGAACTGGCAGTGCTGAACTGGCAGTGATATTTCAAAGATCACTCTACTTATGACCCTCCCCTTAATTGCTTAAAACAGCGTTCTATCTATAGATAACAAGTTACTCATTTATAAATCCATTCTGCATCCCATGCTATGTTATGCCTGTAGAGTTTGGGTTTACTCTTATTAAACAAACAGAAAACAGCCACAAACGGCACAGAACTTCACCATAAAATTAGCAATGTGTCCTCGTATGTGAGAAACAATGTTATTCATGAACAACCAACTACTGTACCACTCTGTACTTCCTATTACCATTAGGCTAAAAAATTCCACATTAAAATGAAAAACATCTCAAACTCTGAAATCAGAATCTACAACAATAATGACAATAGTACGACTAACAACAACAACAACAACAACAACAACAAAAAAAAAAAAAAAAACCACCACACCTTAAACCCCAGCAATGTGATAGAAAAGTAATTTATTATGTGTTGTCTCTGAAAGTATTATAAATTTTGGGTTGTATTTACATGAATGTAGTACTTGTATTTGTATTTATTATATCTTTTGTACAATTATGTTATCATTTACTGGCACTGGGTGATTAGCATCTACCTTATGAATTATGCACCAGCTCAGCAGCTTTCATTTTCCCCTTCTCTCAGTTTTAGTATTCTAAATTCGATTAAAAAAGTATTTATATTTAATCATTATTTAAGACAACTGATCTAACTTATTGACAGAATTAATTTGTAACTTTCAATTTAATTCAATTAGAGGTAGGGTTTTGCACCTAGGCTTCCTGGTGTTTGACATCATTAAACAAATAACCTACAAACTTCCATGGTATTATTAAAATAACCAGATGTTGGTCACCAGTAACCCCCATGATAACCAATGTGTTACTAGCAAGTATATAGAGTAATTATAAGAATTTCATAAAACAAAATGTCTTCATGGAAATGGGAGAAAGAAAGAGACTTAACTGTTCCTTCAGGTGGAGCATAATAAATTCCAACAGAATCAAAACAATAACTATCAACAGAAACAGTTTCTTTACAATAGAATTTTCCTAAAATGGTGATAAGAGTTCGGCGATCCCAGTCATCAGTAACACGCCCTCCATAGTTACATTCACCAGTCAAATATCTGATGGCATCAAATGGAATGTCTTCCTGTAAAAATAAAGTAATATATTTTAAAAGTACTTAGATAATTACTTTTATTGTTCTTTGAGGGATTGTAGTCATATGCAGTTATGAAAAATAGCACAGATTGTAAATTTTTACAAATTTCGATTAAGATTGCTATTAGTGGTAACAGATTTAAATACTTAAGAGTTATTAAATTTTTCATGGCATTCTTCTCTAACTAATAATTGTTAGAATGTAAAAAATATATATAATACATATATAAGTATAATTTTGAATTATACCTAAATTTAATGTGTTAATAGGAATACATATACATTTTATATTTTCCTAAAGTAAATACATGGAAAATTTTTGTGAATAAATAAACATCTTTACAAAACTTTAAACAAACATATTTCTTCTTTACCCCTTAAAGGTTATGAAAGAGAAATTTCTGATTTACCAGTAAAATTTTCAAGAATGGGTTTATTCTAATGAAAATACCTATATATTCATACTAATGACTATGTCCTGTAATTCACAGGATATGAAAATAAAACAAATAGAATTGAAAACATCAACTGTAATTAATTTTTTTGAAATATATAACACTTCAATAATAATACCTTTTCATATATGTTTTCCAATCTGCTAAGTCATCTCCTCTCAGAAACTGTAGCTATTGCATAATTTTTCTTTTTTGATTTTATTTTAGTAAAATTAATAAATAAAGATGAAGAAATTATGTGAATAAATATTGCAGTTTTGATTTCTATAACTTTTAAAATGATTAAAAAATTAACAATAAATTAAAACATGTTCTCTAATGTTTCTAAAACACTGCTTCATAGAAAAAAAATTATACTAAATGATTTTCTTTGAAATATCATTGAAATATTTCATTCCGTTGTCTGGCTTTAACACTTTTACAAATATTGTATATAAAATTTGAATAGTTTTATAATCAGTATTAAATATATTAACAAAATGCAAATCATAATGATTAATTATAAAACATAATTAATTGTCTGTGTAGGCTTCAAATTTTCTTTAAAGAAATAGTCAGTAATAATGAAACACTAAACCAGTGTGGTCCAACATTTAGTTACTCAAGAGCCAATCAAACGTTAGTATAGGAAAGTGAGGGCCAGAGACATTAAAGAAAGAAAATGAATGACATATAAATCACTAGTTTGATATATCACTTTATTTTACAGTCTAGAAATCAATGTGATGATGACTGCTTTTTTGACACAAGTTTATCAATGTCCACTGTAATTTTTGGAAGGCAAAGTCTCAGGCTCGATTCCAGTGAAGCACTTTTAGTGTAATTTCTCGTTTTTGATTTAATTTGTTTGAGAGCAGAAAAAGCACTTTCACACAAGTATGTACTGCCAAACAGTGATAATATTTGTAAAGAGAACTTATGCAGTTTTGGAGAACATTCTTTAGCAATCAGTTTCCAGAAATGTTCAGTAACATCACACTTTTTAGTCCGGTAGAATAGATCTGCCCTGAAGATCACAAATTTCCATTTGAAGGTCGCAAAGCACTTCACTTACTTCAATCTCCATGGGATTGTTTAACAACGGAAGTTTTGTTTTTAGGGAGTCAAAATCCTGGAATCAGTCCTGAAACGCTTTCTTGATATCAGTAATTATTTCATGAAACATACTAAAATTTGTGTCATTTTCTTCTTTCAGCTGCTGGCAAAATGGGAAGTGTGCCATATTATTTGCCTTCAGTGTAATTTGCATTACATTAGATTTTTTTCAAAAGCTTTCAATATGTCCATAAAAGCTGGGCTATATTTTGTTTCTGCCTTGTAGTTTCAAGTTTAACTCTCCGAGCGTTACAGGTTTAGCCCTGAAATTTCAAAGTTCCTCAAAATGTCATGAATAAGTGGTATTTTCTTGATTTTAATTAAAAAATGACACTCTCATTTTGTACCTTGATTTCTTTTCTTCCAATATATATCCAAACCGATATCAGATACACTAAAAGTTAGCAGAAATTTTCATGCATAATGAATATAGAAGGCAGCCTTCTATACGGAATTTTACGGGAGTAACGCTGAGAGGTTTAAAGCATTTAGATGGGTTGTTAAATCTGTCAGAAACGTGATTACTTTAAAACTGGATTTCTTCCAATTTTTCTTGATATTCATGCCCAATGTTTTCTTTTTTGAAAAAAGCAAGAATTTTATTCCTCAACCCCCAAAAACAGTTACAGACAATTTCCAGCACTTAGCCAATGCACTTGACAGTACAATGAAATTTCACTATACTCAGCATCCAAATTGTCCACAAATGCAATAAATGCTCTGCGTCTCTGGGCTTTGCCTCCCCTTAATTAAATTTACAATATTTAAAACAATTTTCATTGTCTGAGCCTTTATTTTTTTATTTTAATTATTATATTTAATATAATTATTTATATTTTTATTATTATTTTAAAGCAGTGAGAAGGGTCTTTTGTTTTTCCAAATATTTAACTAAAATTTTTTTCCAGTAAAGAAGGGAAAGTGCCAACAAAATGAATAAGAGGGCCACATGCGGTCTGCGGGTTGGACCCCACTGCAAAACAATGTGCTGATGGTTTACTTTTCAAACATTTCATGAATTTTTTCTTTGTTTAGTCTTTTTTTTATCAATAAATTAAATTTATAATATAAGAAATTTGTAAAAAACAATACACTAATTTTTATAAAAAAAGTTTGAAAATTAGAACGCATATCAGTCAGTTTTCAATAAAATATGTTTTTTAATTGTTTTGTATCAAATGATCACACACTTACTGGATACTGATTTAAAAACATAGACAACTGTTGGGCACTAATTCTTAAATCTGTTTCATTAAATTCATAAGGAATATTCCATCCTAAGGGACCAAATTTTCTCCGTTCTTGTACCAAAGCATGGAAAAATGTCAATGCATACAGTAATTTCTTGAATGCTTCCTAAGAGAAATATCAATATTTCAGTCAAATAATGAACATGTGAGAAATAACATGTTACTAAAAAAAAAAAAAAAAAAAAAAAAAAAAAAAAAAAAAAAAAAAACACCATTTCAAAATGCACTGCAACATAAGAAATGCTGATGATTCACAAATAAACAGCCAAAAGTAACTATAAATTGTCTCATAAAAGAAAGGGTTGTGATTATTAATGAGCTCCTCTGAGGGGGCACTTACTGTTATTTGAAAAGAGACATTCATTACAAACCAAAATCAGTTACAAACTATTCAATTATTTTCATTCTGCACAAAACTGTAGAGGTAAGAAAAACAGTTTTGAATTCTTTTTCCAGTTCAATAGAAGCTAAATGAAAATAACTAGAGTTAAAACAAGTTCCCATTTACCCATAAATTCAAAAAACCTTTCTATCAATAAATACTTATTATAGGTTTAAAATATGAAGTAAATATACATATAATAGGATCTAAATTATGTGAAAAGTTTGGTTACCCAAACTTGAGAAAACCTGAAAGAATGGCAGTAAAAATTCCGGGAAAATCTGAAAATAAGATAGAGATGTGATGGTCTCAAAAATTATTTGAAATCTGATTTCTCTTCTTCATAATTTATTTCTTAGACCTTAATATGTTAACACCATTACTTTTCTTGTATTTTTCAGACTATTCATCATTCCAAACAGCTTATTTGCTTATTTTATTTAGTTTTCCTTACTAAACTATGTGCAAAATTAAGAAAATATACATGTTATGTCAAATTTCTAAAGAAATAATGGACAAATTTTAATGAAATTTAGTATACATTTATAACATAGAAGAAAGGCAAGGTTAAATTACCAAGGAAATCTAATATAACATACTTACTAGGTAATAACCATGAAACTGCTTATAAAAGATTTTTAATACTTTGCTCAAAATGTCAGAATGATCAAATTCTATTTTCAGAATATAAAAAAATAACTAATGGCTATTTGGTCCAAAAATCATTGAACCTATTTGTGATGACCCAAATGAAGAAACTGAATATACCGTATTTTATTTACCCTACAATGCTACAAACTGATTATTCATAATGACAGAATATTGAGCAAAGTTTGCATAATATTCAACACTTAATGCCACAGAGCAGAAAATGTTTTCTTGAACATTTGTTTAGAGGCCAGACCTAATTTGTATCCTGATTTTTTCAAACTTTCATTGAAATTTAGAGAATATCTTGCTGCTTTCACAACCAATATTAAACAGGCCTTTCTTTAAATCCATATAAACAAGCAAGATACAGATGTCACATGTTTCTTTTGGTCTGATTCTTTTATTTCAAGTTCAAAGCCACCAGTTATCTATAGATTTACCAGACCACTGTTTGTAATTAAGAATTCACACTTTCTTACTCAGTACTATAATAAAGCATCGCCGAAAATGGTATCTTAGTAAATTTCCTACTTTTTCAGAATTACCCAGTCATGCTATGTTGATCACATAATTACTGGCTCTGAAGATGTAGAAAGTTATTTTGTTACAAGCAAGGAATTTATTGAAATTTTTGAAGAAGCTACAGGAATATGGTATGTCAACAGAAATATCTGAGGAACTGTTGGATCAATCTACTTTCCCTTTGAAGGTACTGGGTATCATTTGGAACACTGATAAGAACAGTTTTCATTTCAACATTCATTATTTATGCTAAGTAGCAGAAAAATTCTAAACAGTTTCTGCTACACATTGCAGGCTATATATTTGATCCTTTTGGATTTATCACCCATTTTTACTTCAAATTAAGTGTTTGATTTAATGAGTTTGGTCATCTTAACTCTATTTTGAAATCAATCTGGACTAAATGGTGAGTTGAGCTTGATGAACTGGATAAGATTTCAATACCTTGCCACAAGATGAAGGGAGTGCTATTAAAGAAAACAATCGAATTGAAATCCACTGTTTTTAGATGCTTCTTTCAAAGCTTATGCGGCTATTATTTATCTGAGAGTTGTTAAAGATGATAGTATCCACACTAGTTTTGTTATTATGCAAGGCTGCTCCATTGTAAACTGGTTCTTCGCCTAGATTAGAAATGATGGGAGCATTGTTGTTGGCAAGATTATCTTTTAAGGTTAAACAAACTTTGGAATATGATTTAACTTCTTACTTTTGGATTGATTCATTAATTGTTTATCACTGAATTAGAAATAAATCATTGAAATTCAAACCACTTATTAGTATCTGAGTTAAAAAGATTCATAAATTTACTGAACCTTCTAAATAGGCTCATCGCCCAGGGAAAGAAAACACTTTTTCGTTTTAATAGACTCCTCACTGCACCTCGTTTTTACACTTACCTTGATTTTAGACTCTAGTTGGATAGAAGCAATCAAGTTCCTCTTAAATTATACAATTTTTCAATTCTGTTTGGTTAATTTTAAACTGCCAATGAATGTAAGTATTAAACATATTTCTTAAACCATTTGATGTCAATCATTTCATCACAACATGAATTATTTGTTACAATAATATTCATTAAAATTTTCTACATCCATAAAATATTTCTTATTTTTTTCCCATTCAATTTTTAAACCATTTGATGTCAATCATTTCATCACAACATGAATTATTTGTTACAATAATATTCATTAAAATTTTCTACATCCACAAAATATTTCTTATTTTTCTCCCATCTAATTTTTGATGGCTATGGTTTTTCCTATTTTATCTTTTCAACAGAGAGGATTACATGTCGCTTGAATCTAGATTACATATCTTTAGTTTCTCACCTTTTTTTGCTTCCTACTGATGAAAGTAATTAAAATGTTTTATTAATATTATTATTGAACGGCAATCTAGTAACTTTCAAATGAAATTACTTATTTGATGTTATTCTTTTACTTCAAAAATATTTTATTTAGCAATATTTTTTTAATCTAATATTTGTGATACAAAAAAGTAATTGTCAGAACAGGTAGCATTTAGAGTGAAAATGGTTGTAATTAAAAACCTATAGGTAAAAGATAAAGAATTTTATAGATGAACTAAATCAAACAATATAGAATTCAGTTTTTAAAAATAGTTCTTTGATTAAAGTACTTTTTTGTACTCTCAAAATTACAGCATGATATGTAAGAGTATATGTAAAAGAATAACATATAATAAAAATACATAAGAATGTGATACATATTAACAGATTTTTAATAATTCAAAGAAATATTTACTGGTTGGGTACAGCCTTCAAAAAATTCAGACTCACAAAGAGGATCACTAAGGTATGACCGAATTATATTGGCTTTCAATCCCTTTGGTGGTTCATTGGTCATCTTAACACCATTTTGCAAAACTGATACAGGGAAATGATCAGCTGGATATGATGTTAACCATAAACGAAATTCAGGACTTGTATTTTCTAAAGAAAGTTCCTCACATACCTATAAATAGAAATTTTTTATATAAATTACAGTAGATTTAGAAATCTCAGTATATAAGTTATGTGTAACATGGCACACATATAAGCTATATGCAACAGTACAGTCATATGATTTTAGCTTAAATCAACATCTAGTAATACTGTTATGATATATTTTCTTATTTATCCATCTTCTGACAAAACAAATTTCGAAGCTTTGGTATAAACGCATTTTGTTAAGTAATTTATTACTATGACTATTTAATCATGAGATATTTAATGCTAAATGATGAACTGAAACCTCGAATATAAGGCTCTCAGAACATCATTTAAATAATACAGTCAAAAGTCGTTAATTCAGACACCCATAATCCAGAATGATCTATAATCCAGACCTCAAAGCTAAAATCTTTCTGCGCATGCACCGCGTTGACGCATGCACATAGGCATTTTACGCGTGCGCATAAGACATTTACAACTGCGCATATGCCTCTGCGCAAGCGCAGAATACATTTTGGCGTGCGCATTTAATGTATAACAGACGGTATAAGCTAAAATTATCTAATTATCTATTTCAGTTAATGTTGATGATTGCGTTGTTCCTTAATCTTTGAATTGGATCCGGCTTATTATTTTTTGCAGACTGTAAGAGCAATTTCATAGAAGTAAGCTTGAACTTTCGATTATGTCAAACAGAATTTCCGATGCTGGAGCTCCCAAAGGATCTAGAAAACGAAAGTATGTTTTGATGTTCATCAAACAAAAAACGAATTGCTACAAAAAATGGATAAAGGCATATCCTTTGTTTATCTAACCGTTCCGAAATATGTTTATCAATTTCACGCTGCTCTGCACAGGGGGGTGGGTGGGACAACGCAGCGCGCAATGAACTGGAAGTTGATCTGTCAGCACTATCGTTATCTTCAGGGCAGATGTTTTTATTTTATTCGGCTTATAATTCCTTACTAAATGTAGTATTTCATCTCGATGTACTCCGCCTTTGATACAATTTAAATCAAATTCCTCGTCATTATAAATATCAGGAATACACATCAAATAGTTTTCTGGTTGCAATTTTCTAATTTCGGCTATGCGTAAGGTATACTTTACGCATGCGCGCATTGAAGAAATGTTTAATAAAGTGAACAAATAAATATTAAGCTTCTTTTTTGTAAATTTTGAACTTTAGATCATAATTGTTCCTATATTTAATACGGTTTCATATTTTTAATTTTTATAATTTCTGCATGCCATCTACTAAACTGATGATCTATAATCCGGAATCGCCGAAGTCCCGATGAGTCCGGATTAAAGACTTTTGACTGTAGTTAAAACCTCTTACTGCATTGGAAAAGAAATTAACAACATTAATCACAATATATAAAATTTTTAAAGAGTTCACACAATTAAAGACAATAATAATGTTGAGAATGTTTTAGGAAAAAACAGATGAAATAAATAAAAATTCTTAATTCTACATATTCTACATATGAATTCTATTGAAATGTAATTTCAAATTATAGACCTAAGTGACTGGACAAAAGCAACCAGAAAAAGTTTTATTAAGCAATAATAAAATGAATATTTTTTCAATTTTCACTTACCAGTTTAAAAGAAATTATGTTCAGAATAATGAATACAATAATGTGCAATGAAACATAGTTTCTGTTATTTTCAGATGAATTATGAGATTTTGCCCTACAATGTTAAATTGGAATTATGTGGTTACTTTTCATTTAAAATTACTCATCAGTATTTATCTTTTATGGAGTTCATGTAAACAGAATAAAAGGTTGTCTAATGAAATTGATTGATCAAATAACCTGAAGTGAGACGGTCAAAATATTTCCTAAAAATGAGGCGTCTTGTAACAAGAATCAGAAGTAACCAACTTCACTATAATGTACTCATTTGCATTTCAATTAATATAAAGAAGGAATACATAGTATCATGAAATGATATTAATATTCATTTGTAAAATTAAGCTGCTCGTTTTGAACTCTAAATTGCTGGATGTTCAAATTTCTGAAATTCACCTGGAATCCTTTATTGTCATTAGCACTCATTTACCTTAAAATCTGTGTTTTAAGGTATTAAAAATTAACAAACACATGCTCTTTCCAAGATTATTATGTTTGAATGGTCAGAAAAACCATTTACATGTTGTTCACACACTGCCATTTTATTATTCCCGAAACATGAGACAATATTCTGCGATAGCTAAAAATAAATTTATAGAATACAAAATGCTAATAAATTTTGTTATTTTTGAATAAATTTAATTTATGAAACAAGTTAAGAAACATCAAGCAAGTTTATAAGGTATTTCTCCCGTCTTCTTAGCATGCCTTCGTGGTGTAATGGTCAGCACGTTCGGCGTGTATTCGAGAGGTCTGTGGTTTGAGTCCCGGTAAGCACATTGCTCATTTTTCATCTCTCCTGCTTCACAAAAATCCTGATGTCTCTACAGTGGCATCCAAACTAAAAGGGTGATGTATGAAGATTCTCCACCACTAGGATTTGGTGATTGGGTCCCCTAATCCCCAATTGCTCTTTAAAAGGTGGAGTATATAAGGTATTTCTTCCGCTTTCTTAGCATACCTTCATTGTTTAGTGGTCAGAATGCTCGGCGCGTATTCGAGAGGTCTGTGGTTCGAGTCCCAGCAAGGGCATTGCTCATTTTTCATCTCTCCTGCTTCACAAAAATCCTAATGTCTCTACAAGCTATGTTTGCATCTAACCAGTATGTTCTAGAAACTATTTTAATTTCTTTTAAGTAGTACAAATTGGCATTTCATATCCACTTTTTCTAATGGAAAGACCAGCAGAAAACTGATTGCACATTTTGTCCTGACTGAGTGACAGATATTCTATGAAATATTGCATCAGCTACATCTCTCAATAAATAAAATTTAATAATTAATCTAAACAAATAAAATTTTAAAGTCCACCCAAAAAAGGGGTGCAGATGGAAAGGTTGTAGCAGAAGAAGTTGTACAGCTTAAAAAAGCTGGTAAATTCAAAAGATTGTTAGCAAGAAAAATCTCAGTTTTTGTCACATAAAATCAGTCATAAAAACAATGGAGCAAAGACTTATAAAAGTAACCTTCAGTAGCTTTTTGTCAGCCCAGTTTGTCATTGGATTGAAAACTATACCAAAATGGAGATCTCCACTATAACAGTAGACATTACTAAAAGTTGTAACTGATTTTGATGTTAAATGACTTGCAAGAATGTGTCATCCGTAAATTTCTGTGGTTTTTGTTTTATAGAAGAGTATTTTCTTTTAATTATTTCTTTACTGCTGATACCAAGTGCCTTTGATTGGAGCAGATATTTTAATGTGGTCATTTCGGCTTAAGTTGCTTAATTCTAGGAAGTGTTATGGCATAATTTTTGCTTAGTGCAGTTCAAATGGAGAACCCAAAAGTTCATTTTCAACATATTAGGCTCTTTTGTTTTGAAAAAGAAAAAAAAAGGAATGCTAGTTACACTTTGTAAAATTTGTACTATAAACGAAGAAAGTGCTGTTACCAATGAGATGATTCCTATTCTAGATGCTCATCCTCTGTAAACAAGAAATAAATTAGAAGAAACTCTCACTGAAAATCCAAGATATACACTTCAGAAACTATCAGAGTGTGTGTGTGATTATGGCAAAGCCTCGAGGGCTATCTGCCTAATGAGAGGGATGCCTTTGTGGAGGACTTTCTAAGGGAAACTGGCTTGTATACACGTTACACATGGGAAAAACCTCGAAAATGCCCATGCAGCCAGCCCGTTCACGGGATTCGAACCTCAGACCGAACTACCAGTGCTCAGCGACTTTATCGCTGGTGGGCGCTCAGAAACTATCAGAGAGACTAAATATTCCAAAACATATATGATAAGAAGAAGACTGGGTATGTAAGTTGCTACGATGTACAATACCTCATGCTTTAACAGAGAAGAATATAATTAAGATACAATAACACGCTGAACAAATAAGAGAAGAATATGTTTGTCAAGTTTTGGTATAAGATTCTTTGCTAAAATGAAATACAAATGTTTCTTTCTTGAGATGGCCCATTACTAGTGATGAGAATTAGATACCATACAAGAAAACTACATGAAAAGAATCATTGAGTCAGCCAAAAGAATCTCCTTTAGTAACATGAAAATGGGGCTGAACCACAAAAAGTAATGCTTTGTACATGGTAGAACTACAAAGGAATTTTATATTACAATTTGTTGACATGAAATAAGATAATGAATTCAGCAAAATATGGTTTATGGATGCCAATTTTAAAAGTAGACATCAAAGCCAGAACTGATGAAAGATCAGGGTGCTGTCTTCCATCATGACAATCTTTGGTTCCGCATTAAAAAATTATTGAGATGGTTGAGATGTTTTGTGTATCCTCCTATATTCACTAGTCCAGTGGTCTCAAACTTGCAGCCCCCAAAACAATTTTATGTGGCTCACAAATGCATTTCTGTTATGTATTTATTGCAAATATGATGTAAAGATTTCAAGATTTTAATTGTTTGAAGTCCTACTTTATATTATTTTCATTTACCATTAAAAGTCAACTCAAATAATGCACCAGAAAATTTTTAATTTGAGTTACTAAATTTATTAGGTGATATATTACTTATTCAAGGATTTAAATATACAGATCTGATAAACTTTTATTCACACTTATCAAAAAATAAGTACGTTCAGTTATGAATTTTGTACTAAAATTAATCACTTTATTTGGACATTTTTATGTAAACACCTTTTTTGACAGTTGAAAATTAATAAGAAAAGAAATGATTAATTGATGAGCATCTATTATCTGTGAGGATAATTTCTAGTAATTTTGTCCAAGGTTACAAACTTTATCAGAATAGTAATGCCATCAAGTGACAAGCTGTAGTAAGAAATAGAGAAATTTATAATTATTTTACATATAAACATATATATTTTAATTTATGTGTAGAAGAAAAATTTAATAAATAATAGACTAGATTGTCCTTATTTATTTCTCATGTTTTGTCTCACTTGGAAAGTTTTAATAATGCAATTAATTTTAGTTTAAATTAGAACAAGCTATTTAATGATGTTTATGTGTATGATCTTTGCATCTCTCTGATAAAATAGCTGCAATTATGATGAAGGATATCTATCATGTGATCATCTACCCTAAAATTGCAGCATTTAGTTGAAAAAAAAAAAAAGATGTACTTTTATAATATTTGATGCATTGAATAAAGAAGCTTGAAAATGTAATTTTGATTTTCGTGATACTGGAATTTTGATTTCATGATACTTTTCTTTGGATAAAAATTTCCTGACTAAAAGAGGCTGGATATAAGTCTGCTTCAGATCTCCTTTCTTAAGAGTGATGCTGTCGCTGAAGCAAGCTGAGCTATTTGACTCAGAACTCATTCTTGGTTCCTTATAAGTGAATTTTTAATATGAAATGCAGCAATAAATTTCAGTTTCAAGTAATCTTGTAATGTAAAATAAAACAGGGAAAAAAAAAACACCCTTCAGAAGAAACAAAGCTAGACTCACAGAGCAAGGTAATTAATTGAAATAATATTTCAGCACAAACAAGAATGAGAAGCCACAAATCATAGTAAAATAGAGCTAAAAATATACAGTGATGAGTGAATTGAAAAATATGCAGCAAAATCAAGAAATAAGAAAAGGAAAGATATTCAAGGCTTAGCAAAAAGACAACTAGTTTATAAAAATTAAATCACTGATTCACAAACTAGAAGTCTAAACGAAGAAATGATTAGTATGCAATTCATTTGCTGCACACTTTTCTTAAATAATACTGTTTTAAAATTTATTAATATTAAAATAATGAAATTTGGCTGCAGCTACTAACTAATTATATGCTATGTCTGAAGCAAACTTTGCAGCCATAATCAAATCACATTTCCTGATACTATATTTATCTGAAGAGGAAACACGTATAATCATAATACAGTTTTTAAGGTTTAGGGCTCTAATATTCAAGGAACTCATCTCTTAAATATGTAATATGTTTTTTCACACTGTGAGATTGTTTACATTATACTGACACATCTCCAAGGGCTATCAAATGGCACATATTACATTAGAATAGCACTATATGTATCCAAATTAAAATAAAATATTTTATTTTATTGATGCTGATTGGCTCTGTATCAATCAAGGATAACCAACATTAAGAAATACAAATTTATTGAAAAAATATTCTTTATTTTTATTTCACATCAGTCATTTTTCTAATAGGAAAATTGACTTTCACATAAAGAAAGCAAGGAAACTAATTACCAACATGAAATATATAGCACTGACAGCTTCATTTATTGGTTACAAATAACACACAACAACCACAATTTGTAACAGTTAGTATACAATTTTTTTCATTATTTTTATGCAATTATAAATCCAAATAATTACACTGATAATAATTAGAGACAAGCACATGAATCTATGAAGATTTATCACTTATGCATGTAAATATATTTACTGACAGACATGAATATGTTAAATTAAGTGCCATAAGTAAAAATGATTACATTATGAAGAAGACTGATAAATTTTCTACACCTAAACTAAAATTTCTGGTAATTATTACAATTTTTGCAATAAATTTGTAAAAAACAATTAAAAAAATAAAAACACCGTATTTGATCAAGCTCTTATTAAGAAAATTTTTGATGAATTGTAAGAAATCACTGCTTCAAAATAAAAATGACATTTAAGGCTTATATGATTAAGTTAAATAACTTTCGTATGTATGAAAAACTAGTCATACTTTTTCCAAAATAGGCATCCATGATTTAGCTAGATGACAGTTTTGGAGTACAACCCAGCTACCCTGGGATTTTCCTTCTTCAATTAACCGCATTGCAATAGGACCTTGTCCTTGACCAAGCGACAAAGAGTTTAAACGATAACCTCCAAATCCCTGTCAAAGAGAAAATTATTTTATTAAAATTACAGTGAGATGTATTTGCATATTACAAGTGCCTTCCCATATTTTGACCATGTCCTCTTTTACAGTCTTTTCATTTTACAACCAGAACCTAGCATTCCACTCATAACTCTGCTCTTTTGATTTATTTGATTACATTTTTCAAATATAAAGCCAAACTTTTATACTTTTCCTGCATTTATATACATTGCATTATTTAGCTTCTGTATTTACAAAAAATATAGTTTTTTATCATTTTCAGTGACCAAAATGCATCTGCAATTTGAAAAAAGATTAAATTCCCATTCCAACAAATTTCGGTTTTTTACAGTACTTTGACACCCAAACTGCTAAATAAGCAGATATTTTCATACTTCTGTAATCAAATAAAATGCAAATGAAAACTTAAATATTTAACAAATTTTAGAGAAATGCATATTTTTAGAAAGTAAATAAAATAAAACTTGTTGTATTACATAAGAGGATACAAATAACATTTATGCTTTATTTTAACTCTTTCATTTATGCTCAGTTTGCATTCATGAATGATATTTCTTTCATTTATGCTCAGTTTGCGTTCATGATAAACAGATGCTTTAAAAATAGTCTCATTCTGTTAGTTAACTTAATGTACTCTCATTTAATAAAAACACCTGCCAAATAAAAAATCTCTATCACAAGCAACTTGGTTACACAAAGGAATTTATTTTCTTTTTCGTCCTAATTACATAAATTATTATTTTGATAATTTTTATGACAATTTTTTTTTTGTAGAAAAGAGATATATGCATGATAGTATGAAATCCATGTATAGAATTTTAATTTAAAAACACATTATAGCCCCTAAAACAAGTTCAGTAAGACTTCCCAATATTAAAACAAATTCGCAAAGCTAATTTTCAATTCCACAACAAATTCATACCTGAATATTTTACACAAATTCATTAATAATGAGTTTATGAAAGACTAAGATATTTTATTCCTCTTTATTCATGGTGTAATTGGAAAGCGCATATGGCAGCCTAACAGAAGCTTTAGAGTTCGAGTGATGTTAATGGCAGTGCTGATTTTTTAACTTTTCTGTCCCAAACAAAAAAGCTGATGACTCTATAAGCCATTTAAAATAATTTTTGAATCACAGAAAAATACTCATAAACCACTTAAATCCTCGGTATGTAACTAATTTATTTAAATTTTATATGGAATTGAAGATTTTATTAAATGACTGTGGATAATATTTCTTATAACATTGTCAACACAACAGTTATGTAGTTAAAATCCTTTTAAATAAATTGAGGAACAATCTCAAGTATGTATTATTTAATTAATTTTATAATGAACTCAAAATGCATAATAATAATACTATATTTAAGAAAGTTAACATATTTTTATAAATAACACAGCAAAACATATTCAGCATTTACAGTGCTAGGAAAATTTCCTGAATGTATAATTTCTCTGTTCTGGTCTGCCTAAAATTGTCCTTCAAGTTTAGTACTTTTCATGATAAAAAATTACATCATAATTTGAAACAGTTTAAGATGTACAAAATGGAAAAATAACATTAACAGAAATTCATATTCATTACATACACACCTGATCATCAGCAAATTTCAGCAAAGCAGCAGTTGGATCAGCTCCAGGTGATAAAATAAAAATTAGTGGAGAACAACAATTACTGTCTGCAAAAGCTTTTCCTAGATCAAAAGGAGGAGGTTCAATGAATGCTTTTCCAAGATTATCCATGACAAACTTTTGAACAGCAGGAATCATTTTGTCAAATCTTATGCATCTCATAATGAGAAGCTTTTGAAAACTTGAAAGTTTATTATTCCATTCACCTGGTATAATCTCTTCATGAGGCATCTAAGAAGCAAAATATTAAAACCAATTATATATGCAAACTACATATTGGTAATCAAATAATATCTATTTACTTAAATATAGATGTAGCTATCACTATGCTTTCTATTTAGATAAAATTTATGATATAAAAAGTAGCTTTTAATTAATAGCTGACTAAACACAAATATTCATTATGCAAAATATTATGAACAGCATCAATATTAGGAAATTGCAAATTAAAAAAAAAAAAAACGGTGGCAATTTATTCTTTGACTACAGAACCTAAATAGGCCTTTGGCACACATAAAAAAAAAAAACTTATTCCTCAGATATAAATGTTTATAGCCTTTTGATGAAGAATTTAATAATTAATGAGTATACCAACGAGTATATAATGAGAATATTTTGATTAATTTTTAAAAAAGTTAACTAATTTAATTTCAATTTTAAGAAATTTACCATCCTTTAAAATAATTCAATGTACAATCGATCTTTATTTAATGACTGCATGGGGAAACACACACACACACTTTATTATGTTCTTTTAATTCATACAGATTTCTATAGAAATTAAACTCTGTATGGAACTACCAAAAAATAGCTATAACAAGAAAATTTTATTGATACTTTATATTAATTTTTTTTATAATTATATACATATATTTCAAACCCATGAATATAAAACAAGTAATTTTAAAATAAGTTAGGAGCTATATCAGAATAATGAAAATTCTAGCATTAAGAACAATAAAACTTGTGACAAACATTATCAGAAATATTAAAATAGAAAAATACATAGATAATAAATTCATAAGAACAAAATTTAAAGTTATAAATGGGCACTGAACAAATGAGATTAAATGGATTATCTTTAGACCTGAGATCAGAAACTATGATAGTATAAGCATTGATAAGAAAAGCTATTTAGTGACAGGAATTACATTCCATAGAAGTGATAATGCATATAAGTGTTGCATTTTTATTCAGTATTAATGATTTACTCACCAGACTATCAAATAAAACTTTAAATGCTTTCTCCTCTTCACAAATTGATTCCCGAAGACCAGAAAAAAATTTCATGTCACTGAGGCGGCAAAATTCATCCCAAGATTTATTTGGTAACCATGAAAAAGGATTGGGATGAGGATTTTCAAGACCTATACCACCAGTGAGTAAAAATCTCCACTCTTCTTCATTAATTTTACCTTCAGCTTTCAAAATGTTAATGCAAAGTAAGAAAGAAAAAAGAAGCTGCAAAGGAAAAGCATACAGTCAAAAATAAAAATAAAATAAAATTATAAAAAACTTCAGGTATTTAGAAACAAACATACAATCACATGTTTTTGTATCAAGTTGTTCAGAGTATCAAGTGCAAGATTATATTTTAAATGATAAGATACAATTATATTTTACACTTCCTAATAATATTAAAAGGTGGTATTTAATATTAAATGATAAACTAATCTTAATATGCTTTAGGCTGCTTTTAGTAGAATGATGACTTAATTCAAGCCATTTGACCAAGTAGTATACACCACCTATACAAATAATACATTGCTGGACAAAAAATAAATAAAGCTTGTAAATTTAATATAAGAGAAAATAGCTTGTAAATTTTTATGATGAGCTGTAGTATATCTTTCCAATCATGTGGTATATTTGGTGATCTGCGGTAATTTCTCCAATAATCAAATCTGGTGATGTCAAAATATATAAATCACTAACCAAGAAATTGTACAATAGTCATCCCTAATGTCTTTTATAAAGTTTAAATCATATTTCTATGCAGGCAGGATGAATATGCCCTACTTGTGTAAAAGCGTCTGGATAATGAGTGCAACATGTTAGGGCAATTGTGCATTACAATGCTGAAAAATGATATCCTAGATACTCCAGAGGAATGGCCAAGTACCATTTCAGAATTCTATTCTTTACATTCTCGAAAAAAAGCTTTATTTTAGACTTAAGCAAAATTACCTCAAAACATATTTGTGATTATAACCTTAGATTATGCTTCCTGCAAGCATAACACCATACACGGATAGATGCTAACTTCAGTTTATGGTTTCTAGAATTTCTAACACCTAGGAAACCAACACTATCCACATAGAAAGTAAAATAGTAAAATGCAACATAGCACTTTCACTACAAAGTCTTTTGTCTGGTGCTTTTCATAGAAACTAACAATTGCACTGCACTGCAGGCAACATAGTATGATTAAATATCCTGGATATCACAGCTGCATTGCAGAAGAACATTTCTAACAATTACATATAGTTATATTTTCTTTCTGTAGTATATCCAAATAAATAAAGTTGAAGTACAGCCTAACATTTGATCTTATCAAATTTAATATTATGTACTTGAATTATTTTGCCCATGCCACATTACAGTACCAAAGTAAGATGTTTTTTCAAGCTAATAATAAGCACTTATAAATTCTTATAAGCAATCTTTATTAATTATTACTACCTGAAGTATACAGTGCTAAAAATGGCCCCTTAGGAACAAGAAAAATCTGTATATTCTTGTGCTGCCTTTGACAATACACTACTGAGTTACCATTAAGTCATAAAAATTCTGAATTTGTAAATATAGTAATAATCTGATCTTATGTAATCTGTTATTACATACACAAACAAATTTTCATGCCACCAATGTATTTTGAAATTTAAAATGCAGTTTACAAAATTTACATGCACACACACATTTAAAAAAAATATCAGGCAGTAAATGCCAAGAAATGGTATTTTGTTTGCATAGTTTCCCTAAGAATAAAAAATAAACACAAAAGACCTATGCATCACCAACATTTTGAGTTCCATACAGTATTACAGAATATCATAGAAATTTTAGCAATACTTTAATTACAGGAATTAGTATATTATCAATATTTATTAGGTATTATTATTATTAAGGAAAGCAATCCCTGAGTGACCAAGGTGATATATTCTGAGAGCAACTTGATTAAGAATTTTTATGTAATTTAAATTCATGATGAACAAGGCATGTATGCTGGTGGTAACAGTAATAGCAATAAGTGTAATTACATTATGCGATTTAAAAACAATAATAATACTATCTCTGCACTATTATAATAAGTTACAGGAACTATTTATTGTATTTACATTGGGTTGGCAAGAAAGTATTTTCAGTTTGCACACATACATAGTTATGTTTATTTTGTTATTCTTCTGTCAATCTTATACTTTTTTTCCTTTTAAGATTTGGCATTTGACACTTTTAGTTTGCTATAGAAACAAAACAGTTAAATGTATCACACACAACAATTGAAAATCACATGTCTTGGACTAATTAAGAAGCTCAATATTTGGCTCAATATTTTGGATTTAGGTATAATTAAAATAAACATTACTCAAAAGATTTTAAACATAAATGCATATTAAATATTTTTACATCAAATTACCTTAAATTATTCATAAGAACTCTCATATTATTAAAGTCTGTAACTTAAAACCAGTACTTTTTTTGAAAAACAATTTTTTTATAATTACTGTTGAATTAATGCATGTAACAAATTACCTTATCCTTTTCAAATAAACTTCGGCAAACATTAACATATAAGGATTCCATAAAAAAGTTCTTCAGAATTTCTAGTCTTTCGTTTAGATTATCTGACACTTCTGAATTATCAATAGCATTTATGTATAAATTTATAAACCAAGGCAAAGAATACTGGTACATTGGATCAATGCTAGCTAAATCAGCTATTGTGAAGAATAAGATAGAAGAATGAACAGCAATAGGTTTGTAGCCTAATCTAGTTTGGTCAATTTGTGCTTCAGTTTCTTCAGCAAACACCTATTAAAAAATAATACAAAGATATTAAAATAACAGACATATAAAAACATAAACAGGGTTTATGTTTAAAACAAAAGAGAAGCATACCAAGTGAAACATAAAACTGGTAACACAACAATACTGAGTTTGGCACAGATTAATATCAAGATGTCAATCAATTTCATGGGGCTTTGAAATCGATTGAGATCCTGACATAAATCTACGCCAAACTCAAGATTGTTGTGTTACTAATTTTATGGGTCATATTAATAATAAATAATAAAATTATGATAATAGCATGGATAATAATCCTTAAAACAGACATTTACTTAAACTACAAATTAATAGAGTTTCATATTCCTAACTAAGCCCATGTAAAATACAGAACATGTAATTTATAAAATTACCCCTAAAATAATATTTAGGCATTTATTATTATTAACTGCTAGCATTATCAATCACTCTTAATATATTCTTATTTTTATAACAATAACAAATTATGTACCTACAATATTTTTTCTTTAGTTAAATTATTACCTAATTTTTAGTATGTTGAAATGTGTATAGCAAATTATAACTGATATGCCCTGCAAAAATCATTGATAATAAGTAACAATATATAGTGCTTCAAATATACATATTACATAAATTTAAAAGTCTGTAAATGTCAGAATTTTATGCTATTGATTTGTAAGTTAATGGTGGAATATAGAGTTAATATTTCATGATTAACATTTTTTTTTGAAAATTACCTGCTTTTGCTGAATTTCATTAGATAGCTCCTTGCTTGATGATATAATTTTTACAGCTGTTTCATCTTCCAAAATATTAGTACCAGAAGTTAGAAGTTCTAAAATTTTATCTTCAATTGCTTTCAGTTGCCTAGATAAGAAAAGTAAACTTCAACTTGTTATGCTTACATATATAAAGCTTTCAAGCACTTTTTTTGACTCACCGTAAGCCAAGCAGTAAGAGATCTGAACACAGGTAGTTCTACCAAATTCAGTTTCTAGCGAACATAGATGGTTTAATAGTAGTACATAGTAGGGAATATAGTAGGTTAACTGTAGGTAGATAATTAACAGTGTTTTAACATTAGCTAAATAATTCTATTCATTTAAAGACTTTTTACATTCAAATTAGTCATTGCAAAGCATTTCTATTACATATCAGAAATTCAGTAATCTTAAATAAACTGTGCCAGTCTACTATTTTTTTTTTCTATTTATTTTAACACTCTCTTTTAGTACATAGTTATACAATGATCAGAAGCAAATTTTTAGAAACTCCACCTTAATACATGCACTCTGAAAGTTTGATCTTGCTACAGATACACCAGGTATGCATTCTGTCTTCCCTCTCCACGTACTTAGTTTAAAAAAATAATTAAATCATAAAATTTACCATTATTTTTACATAATCACTTATTTTGCATCATTTTACTACTTTATTTTGAAATTTACAAACTGAGAGAAATAGAGCAATTTGAAAAACAATTAAATTCAATACTTTTTTGGTACCTTGGGAAAACTACATCATTAAAACATATTTATGGTATTTATAAAATTATACCAGTTAGTTGGTTCATAGTCAAACATTCACTGTTGCTCATTATGGAATCATAAAATCCTTGATAAAAATATAAATATAACAATATAAAATACTTAAATTTGAAAACTTTAAATAAGTTATGTTAAATAAGCTATTTGCGATCAAACATCAAAATTAGCTTATTCAATATAACTTAAGATAAATAACACGCCAAACAAATATTAATTTAGAAGTTAAACAACAAACATCAGCGTTATATTTTCAAATTTCACAGGACTAGTTTTGATGGTTTGGCCAAACCATCATCCTCAGCTGCAAAATTATTCAAAAAACATCTTCCATTGGTAAATTGGATTTTCTAGAGGCATTTCACATTCAAAAAAATCTTTCTGTTCTAGTTATTGACCCTAATTCCAATCCATCTTTGCCTTCAGCCTTTAAAGAAATTATGTTTTAGTTCTGGTTTCATCAACAGACAGTGCCAGTAACTTACCTCCTGTCCAGGCTTTCTTACCTTATCTCGTTCATTTATGCTTTTGCAGCTGAGGATGCTGGTTTGGTAAAACCATCGAAACTAGCCCTGTGAAATTTAAAAATATAATGCTGATTTTTGTTATTTGACTTTTAAATCAATATAACTTATTTAATGGACTAATGAGCCCCTTATCTAGTGGACTAAAAAATTCAATAAACTAATGAGCCCCTTACCCAGTGGACCAGCTGTTTTGCTAATGGGATGCTGAATCTCAGTTGTTGCACTAAGTTGTAAAATTTATTATATTTCCTTCAATTTGTAAATTACAAAATGAAAATAGTAAAAATGGTGCAAAATAATTTATGGCACTTTTTTGATAGATGAGATACCACTTAATGCCACACATAAATGTTTACAAGTCTAAAATGTAATACAATATATAAAGCTTCATTAAAAAAAAAGTGATATAGCATATAACATGTTTAATTTGTACAATGCTTAAGTTATGTGTGCTGCTGAATTTGTGGAATTCCTGGAAATACCTAGGGAATGTTCAGAATTATTTTCCCTATAAGCTATTTTTTTAATTTTTTATTTTTTTTATTTTACATCATTCCAACTTAAATATTTCACAGGAACAGTGCACTTTCATAAAATTTGCAAAACACATACAGCTATAATGAGTGGGTAGAATCTCAGAATTTTAAGAATGCATTTCAAATGATAAAAAGGTAATAAGCAGAATAAAACATATTTTATACCATAATAATTTTTCTTTTACACTTGCCTTTTATTTTCAGCTCCTTGTAAAAGAAGGTTGTTTTTTTGCTCCTCCAATTCAGGTTTCTCTCTTGCTACAACAATACCTAACAGCTGATCTTCAAGTCCAGCTGGTGTTATCATAAAGTTCACCAGTGTTACTTTTACAGAAGTTTCAGGTAAATAATGAGGATTGCGTAATTTTGTTGTAATATAAAAGCGAAAATCTGAAGAATATTCAATAGTTGAATCTCCCAGCTTTATGCAAACCATACCTCCCTGACGAAATGTTTGCTTCAGCAGCAATGGCTCTAAAACAGGATCCAACTCTTCTCCAACATTTTCAAGTAATACCTATTAAAAATTGTTTCAGAGAGAGGATATTAATAAAAAATAAATAAAATGCCAAAGGTCATAAATTACATCCAAAGGGACTTTTTTAATGTTTTGTGTGCTGTCTTTATTTATTAAATATCACGTTCTTTAGAATTAAACCACATAAAATCCAACAGCAATATCACAAAATACTTAAAAACAGCATAACTTTAGAATTTTTGATAGATGGTCTTGTGCACTGGAGATAAAAATGTTATTTTCTGTACAGTGTTGCCATTTTTCACTTTGAAATCATTGAGTTTGTCAATTAGTCAAAACATGAAATCTTTACATATAATAAAAGAAAGAGTCTGTCTGTGTGTGTATCTTTCGTTCACGCCGCGTGTAAGCTAATAGACCCACGGCTACGTGGTTTCTACTACGAAAACTACTACAGTCAAAAGTCTTTAATCCGGACTCGTCGGGACTTCGACGATTCCGGATTATCGATTTTTCCGGATTATAGATCATAAGTTTAAATCTGGTAAGATGGCATGCAGAAATTATAAAATTAAAAATATGAAACTGTAATTTATAAAATAATGAGCAATTATGATCTAAAGGGTATCAAAATTTACAAAAAAAAGAAGCTTAATATTTATTTGTTCACTTTATTAAACATTTCTTTCAACGCGCGCATGCGTAAAGCATACCCTACGCATAGCCGGAATTAGAAAATTGCAACCAGAAAACTATTTGATTTGTATTCGTGATATTTATAATGACGAGAAATTTGATTTAAATAATATCAAAGACGGAGTACATCGAGATTAAATACTACATTTAATAAGGAATTATAAGCCGAATAAAATAAAAGCATCTCCCCTAAAGATAACGATAGTGCTGACAGATCAACTTCCAGTTCATAGTGCGCCGCGAAGTCTCTCCCCCCTGCGCAGAGCAGATTTATAAACAGATTGAAATTGATAAACAGATGTCGGAACGGTTAGATAAACAAAGAATATGCCTTTATCCATTTTTTATAGCAATTCGTTTTTTTTTTTTTTTTTTTTTTTTTTTTTGGGGGGGGGGATGGACATCGAAGCATACTTTCGTTTTCTAGATCCTTTGGGAGCTCCAGCATCCTAAATTCTATTTGACATCATCGAAAGTTCAAGCTTACTTTTATAAAATTGCTCTTACAGTCTGCAAAAAATAATAAGCCGGATCCAATTCGAAGATTAAGGAATAACGCAATCATCAACATTAACTGAAATAGATAATTAGATAATTTTAGCTTATACCGTTCGCTTTACATTAAACGCACACGCGAAAACGTATTCTGCGCTTGCGCAGACACATATGCGCAGTCATAAATGTCTTGCGCGCACGCCTAAAACGCTTATGCGCAGGCGTCAACGCGGCGCCTGCACAGAAAGATTTTAGCTTTGAGGTCCGGATTATAGATCATTCCGGATTATGGGTGTCCGAATTAACGACTTTTGACTGTACGAAATTTGGTACATAGGTACATCTAGACAAAAGTGAGTGCACCTCAAAGCGATTTTTTTGAAATTCGAAATAGAATTTTTTTAATTTTATGTTTTGTGACGAAATCGCGTTCTTTTGAGACATAATCGGCTATAGGAAAGTGAGATCCTACTCTACACACTCCATTTTCACATCGTCATGAAACATAGGCACTTAGCTATTTTACAAACTTAAAATAAATTTCGTGTTTCAATAAATTGATTAAATACGAATTTATTTAACAAAGGGAGCTTAACACCTTTTCAACAGGATTTTTTCTAAAAAAGTTTATTTAAAAAAATGTACAGTTTATTTTTCTTTGATTTTTGGACACATTAAACTTTCCTCCTTGCGAGTGCTTTTGCAAAAAGAATTTTGGAAAAATGATAATATTTTGTATTTTTAAAAATTTTTTTAAATGAAGCTTCTGAATACACTTCACACATCTCACATCTTTAAAAATATGATTTTGGCAACAATTTTCCTGTCTTATTGTTGTTGATCAGATTTTTGATGAAATCGCATCATTTTGAATAGTTTCATTCTTTTAGAAATATGGGTTTGGCAACAATTTTTCATCGTATTTCTTATGTCACTGTTTTTAAGAGAGTGGCATACTTCATTGTCATTTTTATATTTATATAATACTTTATTTATTTATTTATTTTTTGATAAAGTTGTTCTGCAGAGTAAAATTCTGCACGGAATGCGGAATTTTACATTTTTTGAGTTGCTTTCATTTTATTTTTTTGCTTATTTCACTGTTTGTAAGATATTGAAAAGTTTTGCATGATTTTTTTTCTTCAATGGAAAATTGGTTCATATTTATAGCAATAGAATTCTGTTCCTCAAAAGAAGCAAGTATGAATTCCAAAGATTTAAAACTTCTCACCAGTTTCTCCATGAAAAGTTACTTTTGGGAAGGAAGATGTTTGGATTCAGAGGCATTTTTATAGTGTTGCATATATTGTAATTTCAAAAAGCCCATACTCCAAAGGAGACCCCGCAATTTAAAAAAATAAATAAATTAATGAACTCAGTGTCTTAAGATGAAAGACCCAAAAACTTTAGATGAGATAGAACCTCTGCTTCATAAATCCATTATGGGATTAGATTGTTTAACTATGGAAAGGGGTGTGATAGCAAGAAAGGTGAACAATTCTATTCAGAAAACTTATAGCTAATTTTGATTTCTTATGTTTAAGATAAAATAATTCTCTTTCAACAACTTACTGGGTTTCCAAATGTAATACAATTCTCCAAAGTCCGAACAAAATCTGAATCAGTAAGCTTTATGACTTGCATTTTGTTTGCTTTCTCCATATTTTTTATCCATTTACTTGCTTGACCCTGTGGATCAATCAGAAGTGGCCATCTGCGAGCGTTGCTGTTTATGCATGAAAGATCAAATAAATAATCAAAATAATGTAAAAAACAAATACATATTAATGGGTTTGATCAATAAATAAATTTTTCTCAGCTTTTTTTCTGTAAGTCTGTGTAACAGTAATAATTTTATTCTAAAAAGTCGTATGGTAATATGTTAATGCATTAAAAGTTTACTAAATAGAAACCTTGAAAAATAATCAGAACAAACTGAAGCATGTACTAATGCATATTAGTATAATTATGTAAAACTCCTATAAATAAATAATTTCCTTAAAATTTAAAAAAAAAGTAATGACACTCTAGCACCATTTCTTGAAAACCTAAGTTTTATAACAAGAAAAAAGAAAATTTTAAAGCCTTATAATAATGTTATACTTAATAAAAATGAATTTAAAAAACGAAATATCTTAAACTAGATATCTTTTCTGCTTGTTTTGTGATAGGAAAATTGTTTCCAATATAATTTGAATAAGTGAGTTTTCCAGATTCCTTGCAGCTGGTAAAAATTATGATGTACAAAATCTTCAAATATGACCTAATTTTAGAAGAGCTGGAAGACAATTTTTTTACAAGTATTATAGTATAGTTCAGTAAACATTTCATTTCCTGTTAGTTCTTTAATTTGTAGTAGATGAAAAAGCTTATAACAACAACAAAAACAAAAAAAAAAAAAAAAAAAATTAATGAATTGCTAAATATATATATTCAATTCTCTTAACTCATTCTTTAATTTCTCCCCTTTTTCTGTTTGTTTTTTAATTATGGATTACACTTTTCAAACATATCTTTTTCAAATGAAACCTTAATTCTTTTGTACTTATGTGACATAACTAGATGTTCTCAAAACACAGATTTCAGACCATGCTAAAAAAAACTTAATCAGAAAATAAAGACACAAGTCTAGAACTAGAGCTTGATAAAAGGGATAGAAGATATGAATGCAGGAAAAATTACAAAAAGGAATGTTTAATACTAAAGCGGAGGCAAATAAAGAGGGAAAGATGAATGCAAGATTCTGAAAAATATCACTCACCATACCTCTATCTATAGATTTTTCATAGAATCTTCAATATTAACTTTACAAACAAGCATTAGTGGGTAATGATTATATGGATAAGTATTCATTAAGATAAATGAGGACTTCAACTATATGATTCATAAAATACAAACTTCATATAGTTACAGATACCATTTTATAACCAGCATCAGTGAACCTCAAAACAAGTTAATTCAAACTTTTCTTTAAAATGAGATGGACTATAATTAGTAAAAATAGTCGGAAATAATCAAATATTACTAGAAGGGTATTATTTGGTATTCATTTAATATATAGATCGAATACATATCATTCTTAAGAGTAGAAATTTTGGTTACCATCAAAGAACTACTATTAGTACTAGCAATGATAGTACTAGTATACACATGTGTGGAGTATTCAGATACAATAAATTACACTGGAAGAGTTCTTTATGCATCCAAACTACAGCAAAAGATTTGAAAATTACCCCCTTTTTATGCTGACTGAAATCACATTTTATTATTCATATGGGAAGAAGCAAAAGTAAAATTTTCTGAAAAATATATTGAGATTTCAAACAGTTTTCAAAGACAGGGAAATTATGTGTGTTTAAGTTTCTACTTCAAAAGCCTCCATTAATCAGCACAGAAAATATTTATAAATTCCTTTATCTCTTATACAATACAGCTTGGAAAATTATACATTTTCTTATGATACAGAATTAAAGAAAAGTTATACAAATTTACAACTATTCCAAAAACTCTGAGACACACATATATAGATTTCATAAGCATTCAGTCAGAGAACGCTAGAAGCAGTGATATAAAACAAATGATACTTAAAATTATTCATACAACACAACAACAACAACAACAACAACAAAAACATTATACCTGATGATGATACCATTTTCAACTGAAAAATTGTCAGTAGGTAAACCAGCTAAATTCCAGTCTCTTATAAGTACAGGGTCCCCGAGAGTAGTTCTTAATGAAAATTCCTCTGAACATGGTATACCATGTTCTTTGCATGCAGCTACCCATGCAAAACATTGTTCCTGAAAAAAAAAAAAAAAAAAAAAAAAAAAAGAATAGAAAATTTTCAAGAGGAATTTTAAATTAATTCTTGGAAGACTGACTGCAGTGAAAGATTTTAGAGGATAAACTGTCTGATGTTTACAACATGAAGAGGAGAGATGAGATGGGTTGGTTTGGTTTATTTGATTATGGCAAAGCACTCGAGAGCTATCTGCCAAGGGAAGGGATGCCTCGTAGAGGGCTTTCTAAGGAAAACTGACTCATATATACGTTACAACTGGGAAAAACAATGAAAACACCCATGCAGTCAGTCCGTTAATTGAAATTTGAACTCTGGACTGAACTACCAGCATTCAGCGAATTTACCACTCGACTGCTGGTTGGCCAGAGGATAGGGGGGAATAAGGGGGGGGGAAAGTGCATTTTGTTTAAACACAACAAACTATACATAATTTAAAATTAAGAAAAAAGCAAAATTAAGTTTGGCATAGATTTTTTTAATAAAACTCTTATGGTTTTAATGGTAATCAGGCATAAATCCCTCTCACAGAAAATTTTATTCCTGAAGAAAAGGAATGTATGTCTGATCGCTCTCACAGCTGATAAAGTTTTATTAAAAGTCTACATGAAACTATGGTTGCTTTTTTGCCTAATTTAAAATTCTATATTAGAATGTGTCTGTTCTAGTTAAACTATTCATAGTTGGCAATTTTACCTGATTAAATACACATTGCAGTTAACATACTGAATCTACAGTTCTGCTCCTAAATAAATAACCGATTTTAGGACGAAATTTTGAATGTAAGATTTATGTAATAACAAGAAAGAAAAATCAGTAGTATCAGAATAATAATAGTATTTTTCTCTTTATGTTTTGCAAGCATTTAATAATGCTTTACAATTTTTATTTCATTTTACCTGGAAAATTTAATTTTACAGAAAATAAATTTTGAGTGTTATAGAATGGAAAATTAAATTTAACTTAATAAATTTTCATTTCAAAATTAAATTGAAAGAAGAATGAAATAGTACTGAATTATATATGCTATTATTATACAGCAGTAATTAAATTTTTGAAAATATGTCTCCACAAATTAAAAACAAAAATTCATATATATTCACTTAAAAATTCATATAAAATTCCTTAAAATAGTTCTTCACTCGGTATCAAAATAAAAAATGTATCTCATTTGCCTTTAAAAAAAAGGTTAATTTTTTTAATCACAAAGAAAAGGGAAAAAAATTATGCAACAAATAGAAAGCTCATACATTTTTGTTTTAGAGTTTTAAATATTCATATATATCATGATATCAGATTAAAATAACATAAAATAAATTTAATTTTGTATAGATGCAATAATATAGCACTCTAGAAATTGAATTAACAGGCTTTTTGCAATGATTTAAAATAATTACTAAATTTATTTCACGAGGATTAAAATTCATTTAATACAGTAAAGTATTAAAACTAATTTAATACAGACATTTAAAAATTATCTGTTATTATAAAAAAATTCTTTAAATATTTATAACTGATGAAATATTGTACAACATTTTATAGATAATAATTCTTAAAATTTCCAGATAGTAATGAACTCTGCTCGGGGGGGGGGGAGAAGTAAGAAATTGCTTTAGAAGCATGAGTGGCATCAAATGACAGTAAGGAAACACGAATGCACAAGAATAGTTTATCTCACCATTTAAATAAATTAACAAACTCTAAAGAAAAGTACAAAAACAAAACAAAAAAAAACTGTAACACTGCTGAAACGGAGTGAGAAGAAAAATATTTTGAATGATATACAGTAAAAATATGCAATAGCCCAAATAAAATGATAAAAATATTTTACTGTAACAGCATTTCTTTGATTTATTACTTTATTGTTATACTAAAAGAGTTTATTTATCCATCCATTAACAGAACAGGACTGAAAAAAGTGGTTTATTAAAAATCTGTATCTCAATATGCAGCCATCTTATGATGTGCAAATTTTCTAAAAGAATAATTGGCATAGTACCTATAGTAGGTACTCTAAATAGGCAGAATTATCAGCAATTGTTAAAACAAAAATTTAAACTTGAAATTCATTGTCGCAATATGATTTTTCTGACACTGGTCTATATAGAACAGAGTTGTTCATTAGAAACACAGATATTTTCTCTTAAATGGTGGCAACATTCAATGAAAGAATAATTGCATCAGAAAAACTGAAATCAGATGGATCCCAAACAGCCATGTTCTCTCTTATGTTTGCGCCAGGTGAGATTATACTCAAGAAAAAATTAACATAAATGATCTAAATTCATTTATGGAGAAATGACTCATGAAATTAAATTATTATAATAAATCATGAGATTACTGAGAATGAATCTAAGGAATAAAAATTCCATTCAGGAGCTAAGAACTGTGAAAAGTGCTGAATTAAACTGGCTCTAAAAATTAACCAGAATACTGTTTGAAGGGAGGAAAAAACATTAAAAAAAAGTTATTTCCTCATGCTAAAATTTAATTATGATTGTAAATTAAATAATTAAATAAAAATAGCTGTACTTGTCGAAAAGCTGATGTAAAAGCTCCAAGATAAGCAACCACAGCTGAAGCAATTAATATATCTCCAGTTAAATTATCATACTGAATTCCAAGTTGTACAGCAGATTCACTCCAACGATCCTTTTCACCTCCTAGGCCACCAATTAAGAGCTGAGCTCGTTCTAGTTGAGTAGCACATAACTCAACTTGATTTTCAAGATCTACAGCACAAAATAAAGATAAAAAAAATAGCTAAAATTTGTAAATTACTATTAAATTAAGTATTTATATCAGCAAATAAAAAATAAATAGGTATCAAAGCATTTATTTCTTGATATATTGACTTTATTCCAAAACTATGAAAGTGTTTGTGTTTGAGCTATGAATAAGCATATTAACAAATTTTGCTCAATATAGATTGTGTTCTACAAAAGTCTTTATATGGCTTTCATTTTTTCAATCATTGTTTGAATATATGTTAAGTGTGTGGAGTAATTGATAACAACAGTGATGAAGCTGTACACTCCGACGTTAATTTCCCCCTCATCCCTGCTAACAGGAACTGGACTTGATGGAGCATGAATTATGCTTTCTCAAGGTAAGAACTTTAGTTCTGTTTCATTCATCTGTATGTCTAGAATTAGCAAAGTTGCAATAGTAAACAAATGAACCTCACAGACCTTCAACATTAGATTATGAGACTGAATGCATGTTTACTTCCAACTAAACACATGAAATATATATCGAGATAAGCTAAGAAGGATAAAAATACAAACAGAGAAGATACTCTGCCATAAATTACCACTGGATAATCTAAACTTTACTTTCTCAGAAAGCTGTATATGTTAAAAGCAGAAAATGAATACAAACTCGAAGAACACATCAACAAAATGCTCGAAATCGTAGATGAACTGCGAGGAATTGGTGAAGAAATAAAGGACAGTCCCATTGCAGCATTCTTACTAAACGGCTTGACAAAAAGCTATGAAAATCTTATTACAGCTTTAGAAGCACGCCCATAAGAAGAACTTACGTTGGAATACATAAAAATGAAACTCATCGACGAATCCCTGAGAAGAAAAGAAGACACACGAACAGAAGAAACAACTGCCTTCAAAACGAATTTTAACATAAAATTCAAGCATTTCAATCAACGAAAATGCAATTATTGCAAAAATTTAGGACACTTAGAAAAGAAATGAGGTGCTTAAACCACAAAGAAAAAGACAAAAATGAAAGTAACTCATTTTTCAAGAATGAAAAGCAAGCGAATAAAGGAAATTATGGAAATAAACAAAAGTTGCTGTAAACGAGGATGCACACAAAGATGAAAACAAAAATAAGAAAATTGAGAAGACTGAGAATTAAACGCTCGAAGTCACCAGAGAAAGAAAATTTCAAAACTCAAGTTGACTCAGGAGCTACTTGTCATACGACCAATAACATAAACTTTTTCAGTAAATTAGATAGAAGCAAAACTGAGCAAATAACAATTGTTAACGGTACTCAAATGAAGTCCAAAATTATCAGAGAAAGATACTTATACTGTACAGACAACGAAGATAACGAAATAGAAGTAAGACCTGTGGATGTTCTGTACGTTCCTGACCTAGAAGGAGGATTGATATCAATACGAAAAACTACAAAGAAAGGATTTACAGTTGAATTGGAAGAAGATATTTGTAGAATAAAGAAGAAAAATAAAACCATAGGAATTGCTAAAGCAGAAGGAAATCTATATACCATAATTAAATTGCAAGGAAGAAAAGCCAAAATTGCAGCTGCAGAAAGAAGTGAAAATAGCATAGATCTTTGGCATAGAAGACTAGAACACAGAAATTATGAAGAAATCAAGAGTCTAAAGAATTATGACCTGGCAACTGGAATAAGGATTGATGGAGAAGCCAAACAGAAAAATAATGCGAATGCTGTAGCAGAAGCAAAATGACTGAATTGCCATATCCCAAGTTCAACAACTAGCAAAATCAGTTCTAGACTTGATACATTCAGATATTTGTGAACCAATCGGTACAACATCACTAGGAGAAAAGAAATATTTCATAATATTCATCGACGATCACTTGAGGTACACAACGATCTATCTGCTAGCTACAAAAGATGAAGCTATCTCCAAATTAAAACATTTTGTAACCATGATAAAGAACAAATTTGGAAAGAAGCCAAAAGTCTTAAGAACAGACAATGGAGGAGAATATACACAGAAAGAGATTGAAGAATATCTAAAGAAAGAAGGAATCGAACATTAACCCCTTAAGGCACACATTAATTTCTAATTTTCGGTCAAAAATCACCTATTTTTTTTCTTGCATAATCATATTCATGCATAATCATATATATGCATAACAGCCAGGGTTAGCTTCAAATCGAAATCTCGGGGTGGTGCAACGTTTAGTTGATTTATACTAATTTGATACCAATTCCTTGCTATATCCAAAATCTCGTTGTCATTATCTTCCGATTCACTTCCATCACTCAAGAAATCATCACTCTCATCGCTCTGAAACTGTCTGATATCATATTCAAAAATTGTCATCGTCAGAGTCGCTCATTATCAGATAACTTTTTTTAAATTACAAAAACACTTAGTAATATAATTTGCAGTTAACTGCTTACTTTATTATATTTACGTAATAAAAATGGAATATTACCTTTTCCACACCAAATGACTACTTTATAGCAAAGAATTCCTAGCAAACTTATAGCTAATCATCAAAATGCGCCATGTAGTTTACACAAGAAAAATGCTGAATAGTGGTGCCATCTATGTCAAATAAGTTTAATTATAATCTAGCCTATTTATTTTTACTGGAACGGATCTCAGACAAGCATTAGAAATAAAATAACGCGAGATACAAGGGCGCCCGTGTGAGACACGGGCATGTGCAAATTTGCCGGAAACTTTCGCCCGTGTGAGACACGGGCAAATGCATTAAGGGGTTAAACCTCAGTAGCACATTCACCACAACAGAACGATAGAGCAGAAAGGGAAAATAGATACTTGATGGAAATGACAAGATGTCTGCTATTAGATTCAGGACTCAAAAGAGAATTTTGGGGTGATGACAGCCACCTATGTACAAAACAGGCTACCATCAAGATCAGTCGAAAAAACACTGTACGAGCTCTGGAATAATAAAAATCTGAATTTAAACCATATCACAGTTTCGGTAGCACAGCCTATTGCCTAGTTCCAAAGCAGAAAAGAAGCAAACTAGATGAAAGAGCAGACAAAGGAATTCTTGTTGAATACAGTGACCATACCAAAGGCTATAGAATTTACATGCCACATACAAACAACATTGTGATCAGAAGAAGTGTAATATTTGATGAAAACATAAAAGAAGAAATACCTCGTCAATTAAATGATCAGAATGAGGAAATAGAATGGCCTTTTAAAGAAAATAAATTGACTGAACCATGTTCAAATGTTACAACAGAGGAAGGAATTGAAACAGAAGAAGTTCCCCTTTTACCGAGAAGATCTCAGAGAACAACTAAAGGAATCCCACCAAACAGATTCTTATACATGGCTAAGAATGAAGAAATCAAAGTTCCTAAAGACTGGAAAGAACTACAAACTTTTCAAAACAAAGAAAAGGAACTGTGGTTGAAATTCATGAAAGCAATTGGAAACAAATGGACATTTAAAACAAAATTCGTTTGGGCAAGACTACGACAAAACATTTGCACCAGTCATAAAGTATACCAAAATAAGGACTATCTTGGCAATAGCAGCTCAAAAGAAGATGCACGTAAATCACTTTGATGTAAAAAACAGCTTTTCTATATGGAGATCTGAAAGAAGATATATATATGAAGCAACTAGAAGGTTACATCTCTGCTTCAGAAGCAAACAAAGTCTGTAAATTAAATAAAAGTATCTACAAACTAAAACAGGCTGTTAAAAACTGGAATCACAAGTTAGCTGATATCCTGCACAAACAAGGATATGTTCAAGGAAAGGCTGATCCATGCTCCTTCACATTAATCGAAGTTGCAATAGTAAACAAATGAACCATACATACGTTCAACAAAGTGGAACATCAGATCATAAATTGTCTGAGGAAAAAACACTTTGGATGAAGAATTGTGTTATGAAAACTTGAGTCGGTAACATATAATTTTCAAAGGTATTGTGAAGTAACCGATGCCACATAATTAATACTCGGGGACTTCAGGATAGATCATTTTAATATTTTCTATTGTTTAATTCCCATTAACAAAGTCTGGCAACAAAATGACTAATAGTATCATGAATACAACCTGGACTCAATTAGCTCAGATGCAGATAAAGACTGAGTGCTTTAATATTTAGGCCTTATTTTGTTATCTATGATATTGTGTCTCTAGGCAAAACCATGAGCTAAAGAAAGTAAATAAAGATTTAATGGAGTTTTTAGAAACCATTAAAAATTGCTCAAAAAGAAAGAACTAAAGCCCCAGAAGCAGCTACAAATGGTGATTGTGGAAGAAGAATTGTCTTCAGAGCAGCTGGAAGGAAAAAAAAAATATCATAGTTCTCTGATCCACAAAATTTGTTCAAGATGGGTAAAGATGCAAAATTTCATGGAATGCATCATCCTATTAAAGCAGTAGCAAGCTACAATATAATCGTTTTTAACGAGAATGCCATGTCTCACTTTAGAAACATTTTAAAATGTAGACAACAACAAATCTCACTAAACAAATTTTGAGCACAACAAAGGCTCTGACACAAAGAAAAGATAAAAGAAGAACTCTCTTAAAGGTATGTATCTGACATTTTGATGTAATGGAATTCACTTCTATACAATAACACCTGCTTCATTAATCTCCACTTATGCCATCCACTTTCCTTTATATAGGTAAAATAAAATTTCCATCTGTTTTATCTGTTTAATATTGTATCTATCTGTCTTGCTTTACATTAATGATTTCCGTTACTTTAAACTATGAACTAAATACTATGAACAAAGTATTGTTGTAAATATAAATAAATAATCATTTATGGTCCAGGCATGAATTAATTGATTTTATATTAATTCCTATGAGAAAAATTATTTCAGTTTACAAATATTTCAGTAGACAGATGACCTTCAGAAACAAGTTAAACTCATAAACTGAGATTACACTGTACTTCAAAATATGAAAAAAGTTTTAAACGATGCAAATATTCATGTTATGTTATCAACAGTTTCACTTGATTTCCATAGAATGAAAATCAAGCCCCCCCCCAAAAAAAAGTACAAATTGCGAAAGGAATTAAAGGTAACAGAATTTTCAGACATGGAAGAAGAGTCAAAGACAAATGGCAAATGAAAAATTGTTGACAAAGATAAAGTGCCTTTAAGTTGCAAGAAGTTAAATGATTTGTTAAAAAAGGTGCACCAACTTGATTTTGCAAGAGAGATTGACAACACTTTAGGATAGGCATTGAAAAATGCAGTCTGAAACTTAAGACTTCAGTGATTGTCTAAGAATTTCGATTTGGATGGAAATATTGTGAACAATTTTGATTCATATATCAGTATTAAGGATGTCTTCAAGATTCTTCCCAAGGAACCACTGAGTGTTTGATCTTCAAAATGTTTTTACTAGCAGTACTATGTAGTATATTTATGTGTTATTAATAAATAGAAGTAAGATAATGTAAGATCAGTTAAGCATTGCAACTAACTACTATTCTACACTACAGTTACATACTCTTTGCTCAATATTTCTTTAGTAAATAAATCATTGCTATCTTACTTTGCAGCTATTGTGCAAGTATTAGAAAAACTTGTTTTCGAACTAAGTGAATTTTAGATCATTCAACATTATATATATATGATACTGTAAAAAGTACTTCAAAAGTATTTTCAAATCAATCACAACTTTTGCATTTTATACTTTTATTTGCACTGTAGTTTAAAATGTTGTAAATATGGACACAGCTAAATTTAATGTACACTAGTCTGCATATGTAAATAATGTAATGCATAAACTTTTGAATTTTTTGTAAAACTCCAATTTATATAACTTAAAAAAATAAAAATAAGAGTCAGTTACACACCTATTTACAAACGAGTAAGAGTACACTTTGGTGATATTATGTTTGCTTACCTTCTTTTTCTTTTTGTGCTTGGGCAAGTTTCCTTTCTAATTCAGCCAGTTTATCTTGTACTTCTTTTAAGCTATCCTGTTTCACTTTGAGGGCTGCTAAAGCTTCAGCCAGATCACTTTCTGCATGAGCTAGAGCTTCCTTTTTGGGGGCCACAATTTTGGCAACACTAGATCAGAAGATAATGACGCACTTAAAAAAATTAAATATTGAACTATATGCATCTTAAGTATGTAAACAATTCACAATTTTATGCCAATACATTTATATTTTACATATAAACATATGTATTAATTTTAATACATATTTCAATACCAGAACCATATTTAGACCTGATAACGCCCTAAGCTATTTGAGATATGGGACTCTTTATAAGTCTGTTATAATATACTTTAATACTATTTATACTATATTTTAATTTTGGGGGGGCTCACAATGTAAACTCCATGGGAGTTTGAGTGGGGAGAATGGATAAACCCACTTAATGGGAAAGGGATCAAAGGGCACTATTTGCATGTATTCACACAGATTGATTTAAAACTTAACAGAAAATACATATATGAGATTGCCAGATTGTCATATGTCATTAATTGTATTATTATTGATTGTGGATTGATTTGAAAATTTGACATAATGACCACTGTGATCACTGAACCACCACTGATATGAGCCTGTAATACCTGTTCAATATTTTTCTTTCAAGTAGCAGTTTTTACTTTTGATGCCATTGGACAGCTTATATAAGCAACAGACTGATGAGTAAATGAAAACAAAAATTTAAACCTTCACCTAATTTTTTACTTACTATATTTTAGAAGTAAAATAATGCTAAGTTATTAGTCTATCTTTACAGTTCTAGGAGTTGACATTTAGAGCAGCAAACAACTGTACAAACTAATGTCCTAAGGATCCTGGAAAGTGAGATAAAAATCCTCTTTTTATACTTAAAACAATAAATGATATGTAGCATTGGTTTATTAGATTACAACAAAGCACTCGAGGGCTATCTGCCTTAAGGGAGCGATGCCTTTGTGGAGGACTTCTTTAAGGGAAACTGGCTCGTATACACGTTACTCATGGGGAAAACCACGAAAACACCCATGCAGCCAGCCCGTTTGTGGGATTCAAACCTCGGACCAAACTACCAGTGTTCAGTGACGTTACCGCTCGGCCGCTGGTGGGCTATGTAGCATTGGACTAAACAGCATATTTCTCACATTTCTAAAGAAAGTAACATGTTAATCAAGAAAAAGCAGTATGAAGATATGTTCTTTTTCTTGTAATTAATTGCAGCATTCTGTTTCATTTAAATATTAGTGTGAAGATAATAAAGTAACAAGTAATTTTATGAAACTGAACATAAGATATAGAATATGAAAGAAAATTACTAATGTAATTTGGCAATAATCCTTTCAATTTCTAAATTTAATTTGGCTACATCACCTTCAAAGAATCTGTACTGCATCATTTATGTCATTATTTCATCTGCAATGATTTGCACTGCTGAAGAGCTCTTGACTAATCACTATTCAAATGTGAAACAAAGGAGCTGAGTTTATAAATATCCCAGCTCTGGAATATGCAGCCTTTTTTTCTAACCTCTCTTGCTTACCTAACGCAGGTCTCATCGCCTTACTTTCATCTATTGTTTAAAGATGAGATACACGTATATCAAACTGTGGGGCGCTTATAACATTCATAGTGTTGTGTAAACCAAGATGAGATGTCTTAAGCTAAGCACAAGAAATTATTCGAAAAAAATGTGATGTTGTGCCTGTCAAGCTAGTTGTGTTTTCTGAAGTTCCAGTCATCTAATACACAATTTGTATGTCTACCATATTTATCACTGTTTCGACTACGATTAAAAAAATAATGGGTTCTTTCTCTAATATAGGACTGAGTCATCACATCTATACATTACAATGCGATTGCGCTGCTCTCTTTAAATCAAGAATCACAACTAGCATTAATTAATAAAGCAAACTTATTATATAGCAATAAAACATTTATCATGTAAAATAATTTTTCAGTATTAAACATAAGTAAAAAAGAATTGTCATCAGAAGCCTTGAGAAAATTACACTAGGGAGGTTAATCAATAATTATCAAGGACATAGTTTTCCCCATTTTAATTGTTTTCTGTACACAATTTTAATAGGATATTTATTTTTATTTATTTTGCTAATTTGAAGAAATTACACACACATTTCCAAATTACTTTTCTTACAAACAATGAAAAAGGCACATAGAAACTACTTTTCTTACAAACAATGAAAACTGAAAACGGCACATAGAAACATTGTTTTAGGAAATAATATTAAAAATATACATAAAGTGAGCACTTACTGATCATACGAATCCATTGCTCGAACCCAGCGGCATAAACCTTCGGCAGCTGTTGAGGCACTTTTGATTTTTTCTGGGTCAAATTCGGGGTTAGATGTATATTTTTGTCTGATTTCTTTCATAGCTTTTGCAGGGATATTATCCTTAGAAATAACAATGGTAAATTAATGCTAACAATAATTATGTATTTCCAACTGGGTCGTAAAATGTAATTATTTACAAAAGTTAAAACTTTACTTTTTTGTTTTGTTTTGTTATTTGTGTCTGTACGTGGTACAAAGTCTAAAATCTGTATGTCCAATATCCGGATCACTAGTAAATTTTTTTTGAGAATCTTTATATATATATATATATATATATATAATAAAGTTTAGGAATGAAGAATATTTTCAAGAAAAAGCAGTAGTCCCATAAAAGGGATTTTTCTCCCACCTAATCGAAATTCCTGTAAGTCACTTTCAAACACCTGCTTGGATAGAATTAAACACTGTGGCCAATGAAAATAAATTGATTTACATTGTGATGACTTTGGCCAGAACCACACTTTCGGCCCTTAAGTGGTTGTGGAAGGAGATAGCATTTTTCTATCTAACCTAAACACAAGAGGAAGTTTAATGGCATATTTGTGTGGAGGTAGATGCTCTTACTAGCTTTCTTTTGTTGGCATAGCAATGGGAAAGGAGAAAGAATTCGATTCTGAGAAACTTAACCTCAAATAATAAGCAAATTGCATTATTCCTTAACTTATTTTCCCCAGCTTATTATATTTTGCAGACTATTTATTACAGCTATCTTATCAAAATCAAATGTGGATTTTTAATTATGTGAAAAATACAGTTAAGAATTAGAAAAAGAGTTTTTCTGTAGCAAGATCTGCAAAGCAAATGCATGTTTCAGTGTCAATTAAGCTAAAATGAGGATTCTGAAAAAAATGTATAAAGGCATATTAATAGTTCAGATAAAAGAGAGTTTATGACTCAAAAATTAATGAATGATTGGTTTGCAAAATCAGTTCATACTCAAGAGCTGGCTAGCATCTGAAACTGGTTGATTTACCAAATGATGCAAAAACTGGCCTTATTAATAGCAACTGTCCAGCTCACATTTCACTTAGTTTCAATAAAAGACAACCTCCATCTTATTCCTTCAAATTGTACATTCATCATTCAGCCAATGGATATTGGAATACTGCACACACTGAAACGCAGATGCAAAGTAGTCTTTTTAAAATCTATGCTACATGTTTTAAACAGTGCAACACCATCTAAAATTTTGTGAAATATTTTAATATAAAATCTGATATGTAGAGCATTGCAAGGTCATGGGAGGATATGCCTGCAAATATTTTTTAAAATGCTTGGCCATGATGATAGCCACACATTTGATGGTTTTTCAGATACCATAAGCAAAGGTGAACAAATACCATCAGTGAACAAATGGATGGCGAAATGTGTCGTATTTTTGTAAATCCAGGAAATACTGCTACCGACAATGAAGGAAGTGAGAAAGAGGTTGCTGGGAATAACAACAAACAAACAAACAAACAAAACAAAACAAAACAAAAAGATTGACAGTTTAATGAGAATTCTTGACACAACAATTACAAGACTTAAACAATGGAATTTTGTAACTAAATTTCCAAATAAATTCCGAATAATTCAGAAATTTCCGAAATCTAAAATTGCTGAAGTTTTGACAATTCCAAATCACAGACTTTGTACTGTGCATGCTCTTATTTTGCAGAGCCAATGGAATTTATGAAATTAAATTTCAGTATTTTTTCCAGGGAAGTAATTTATTATTACCTTTGCAATAAATATTATTCTATGGAACATATTTACAGAAGGCATTCTAAATAAAATTAGTCCGTAGTTATGTTACCTTTACAGCAAACACTGAAAACACCCTTGCATTAATTTTCTCCACTATTAACTATACTTGGTGCAAAATACTAGTATTCCACTACTTTTTCCTCTTAATTATTAGCAGCGTATTTAATTAAGTATGCAAATAATACATATGTCATTACATGAATATAATATGAAAAACAATAAATAATATAAAAAGAAAAAAGAAATAAAAGCATTACATTTGTAACGCATAATTTCCATCTGAATAATTTTTATATTATTGCACTTATTTTTCTATCACTATAGTTTATATCACTTTTAGGTACATGTATTTCAATCAAAATTGCCAACAATAATAATGCAATAGATCCATTTGCATAAAAATGTGTATAAAAATTATAATCACCTTGTCATAGTTTTTTAAACCATCTAAAAATTTCATATCTCCTAACAGTTTTTTAGAAGGACCCCAATAATCTTCAATCATTTTCCCTTTTGAGAAAACAGAAAAATGTGTTATTTATTAAATGTGAAGTATCTAAAAATATTAAATAAAATTTATAATTTTAATAACATCAAGATAATCAATGATAACAAATTCAGCTATTTTTTTTTTTTAACATAAAACATAAGATATACAAACCAACTAATTTATTTTTGGAGTAGAGAACTTAGGGAAAAAAAAAAAAAAAAAAAAAACAGCTGTTAAAGAACATACACACAAAAATAATATGATTTTGCAGTAGATGAAATTTAGTTGAAAAGAAAATATATAATGCTGGATGAAATTTATCTAAAAGAATCTGATGTGACCTCCTGCAAATACTGTGTTTTAAATAGGAATAAGCATTTAGTAAAGTATCACTTTGGTTGATAGTTTGCAAATAAAATCTTACTAGTTGTTCCAATAAACAGGAAGTTTGTACTGTGAAATTTTTGATTGTATTTTATTAAATACAAGTGGCCATGCATAAATTTTTTTAAATACCAAAATAATCAAATGTTTGCCCTTTACTTTTTTTATTAAAAATCGCATTTTATTGGGCAGTTGAATAGCATATAATTTAATTGGCTTTTAATTAAAAAAATTAAGTGTTTATAATACAGAGTGTTTAAAAAAGAATATACGTATTATAAAGTGTTATTTTGTCCAAACTATCGACCACTGCGCCTCGGTTCGGCTATTGGCGAAACGAATACATAGTCTAGTTTATATTAATAGTCGCTAGATGTCAGTTGTCTTCTGTTTTGCGTGGTAACCGTCATATGTTTAAAATGGCTACTCTGCAGCAGAAATCATTTTGTGTTCTCGAGTTTGCGAAGTGCAATTCTGTGATTACAGTGCAAAGACATTTCAGTTGAGGTACCAAAGTGATCCTCCAATGGCTGGAGCATTCGCAAATGGTATTGACAGTTTGTAAATACAGGATGTGTATGTAAAGGAAAGAATCCTGACCACCACCCTTGTGTTCCTGACAAAAATGTAGCACAAATTAAAACTGCTTTCCAACGTAGTCCTTCAAAATCAACTTGTCATACTAGTGCTGAGTTACAACTGCCTACAATAACAATTTGGCATGTTTTTAAGATGTTGGTTGGATATGAAGCCGTACAAGTTACATTTGTTACAAGCTCTGCGCCCTGATGCCAAATGCAAACGTGTGGCATTTTGTAACAAGATTATTGATGCTATTGACAATGATAACACTTTCGCAAAACGCGTCGTGTTCAGTGATGAAACGACTTTTCATGTTAGTGGTCATGTAAACAAACACAATGTTCGAATTTGGGCATACAAAATCTGCATGCAGCCACTGAACATGTACGAGATTCACCCAAAATCAACGTGTTTTGTGCGATATCCCAATCATCTGTTTACGGCCCATTCTTCTTTGAGGGAAACATGGTTAATGGTCAGCAGTATCTCGCTATGTTACAAAACTAGTTGTTTCCAAGGCTGCATGAAGACAACTTTACTTTTCAACAAGATGCCTCATCCACTGGTGTCGCCAAGTGCGCGATTATCTGAATGAAACTCTACCAAACCGTTGGATTGGTCGTCAAGGAGCTCCGACTTAGCATGTCTCAGATGGCCGGATTTGACACCCTGTGACTTCTTACTGTGGGGTTTCATTAAAGACAACATTTATGTACCATCACTCCGACAGAACCTGGAAGAGGTGAAGAACCGGATCCATACTGTCATAACATCAGTGACGACGAACATGCTTGCCCAAGTATGGGAGGTATTTGAGTATCGATGTGATACTGTTCGTGTCACTGATGGAGGACATATTGAACACCTGTAATCTGAACTTGAGAGGTTCGTACATATGTGTGTAAAGTTTCATATTCATATGTCATAGAGTTTAATAAATATATGCAATCGAAATGCTATATTCTTTTTGAAACATGCTGCATATTTAAAATAAATGCTTTAAAATGTATACCATAATTTAATTTTTCTTATATGTTATTTTAATATAATCAACAAATCTAAATTAATTTTGATCTGCATGTATACCCCTGTGATATTTAGGTATCAGTAAAAAATGCTTCATTAGTTTTTGGAATGGAACTACAGCTGTATAGTGACTACTATGCATTTTGGAATGAGTAAGGAGTAAAGTGCTTTTGAATTTGCTATTTGCTCTGTGTTTATCATCGTCAACACTGGAAGAGAACAACAATTTTTTTTTTGGTAGCATGCTTTCATTACAAATGAAACATTGTTATAAAATTAATTTCCTTCTTTGGCTTGATATAAATAAATATAATATCTAGATATAACGAAAATAGCCTTACTATGTATTTTATATTAACTCAATTGTTTTATATATTGACACTATATTTTTCAATGAAAATATGTGAAGAGCTCCAATGAAAGTACAACTTCCATTTTAACATATATAGTTAAAATCTAATATGTTTCTCTCAATCATTATTTTACATGCCTCTACATGGCATAACAAGTTTTAAATTCCAAATTTGAGAAGTTTTAGAAGAAAGAGTGCATCTCATTTAGTAAGCTACTGATTGCTAGAATGAGTTTTAATAGAAATATGCTCTATTTGTTCTTTCCTTACTTTAGAAAAAAGCAATTTTGTGTGAGAGAGTTATAGTTTAGGAAGAGATTATTCAGCTCAATTGCAGGTTGCTATTTATCTGGAAATTAAGCCCTGCAGACCCTACCAGACAAAATAATGAGTTATTGCTGTGTCCTTAATTCATGTACTACTAAGGAAAGTTTTAAAATAACCTTTTTATTTAGTCTGAATATAAAAGGCACAACTTCTGCTATAGCAGAAGGCAACACATTTAAAAAATAAGCTATACATTGGCTCAATATTTTACCAGTATATAAGTCTAAAACAGCTAGCAAGACAATGCAAAAGCTATAAGAATCACTTTTAGACAGAACTGAAGAAAAATTCTAAGAATGTAATACAAGTACACAAGTGTCAGAAGCTCTCTCTCTAATATTCAAAACCCTCAGGACATATACTGTTAACACTAATTTGCATTCTGATGAGGAATATGGAAGAAGAAAGTTATAGTAAAGGTCAAAATCATAATAACCGGTTAATTAATATATGAACCTTATAATATATTTAACTGTAATAAATTAATATGCTTATTTACAATTACCCTTATATTTTATTATTAACTTTACAAAAAAAAAAAAAAAAAAAAAATTCTGTTGTTACCATGTTTTGTGTGTTACCTTTTTTTTTTATTAAATATCCCATTCCTTGTACTTAACCAGAAAATCAAATTCAACAGCAATATCAAAAAAATATATATATATATATATATATATATATATATCACACTGAAGAGTAAACATGATTCTCCCATGAAGACCATACTGTTCAAGTTTTTCTTTATTTTTATTCACAACACATCTCACACAAAAACTTATTAGACTGAAATATAATCCAAGTATCATTAATCAGGTAATTCGAGAAAAAGAATAAACAAACCTAGTAAGAAAACAATATCTGTTACATTCCGTATTCTAAACATTTGTTTACATAAAAATTTATCGCAAGACCTGCCGAGAAAAAGATATCACATGATCACAAACGCATAATCATTTTGCCGTCAAATTGCCCAAAGAAGCAATTTGCCCAGAAGGGCTATTAATTTCGTTTTATCATTTTGTGTTGATTCACTATAAATGGTGAATCACTTTTTAAATTGTTGCCGGCAAATAATACAGCCCTATATTATATTTAAAGAAATTAAATAATGAAGGATTTGAATATGGGCATCTGGAAGCCCAAATTTGGAATTTATTTTATTATCTATTTCATATTTTATAAAGCATTTATGAGTTTTTGGTTAAAAACTCAATGATTTCTAAGCAAGCAATGGCAACACTGTATGAAGGGACATTTTTATCTCCAGCATGTGAAATTGTGTACCAAAAATTCTAAAGATATGCTCTTTTAAATATTTTGTGATATTCTGTTGAATTGAATTTTCTGGTTTTCAGTGTGAAGAACATGATATTTAATAAATAAAGGTAACACACAAAATGTTAAAAAAAGCCCCTTTGGTTGTAATAAAAAATTTGAAAATTTACATATTTTTTTTTTTTTTTTTTAATTTTGATTTACTTTTTTTTTAACAATTTCAAAAACGAATTGATGCAAAATGCCAAAACGAAATTAATAGACCTTCTGGGCAGATTGCTGCTTTGGGCTAATGCAAAAATAAACAGTTAGGCCAGCGAGCAAGAAGGCAGTTTTTAAGTGCAAAAAAATGAAAGTTTAATTTTGGTCCCACTCGGCAAAAAGATAACGGAGACACAGAAAGACTAAATTCACTATTCTGTTAAGTTTCAAATGTATACAAATATGGCTGCTATGGTAAAAAAAAATTAGGCTTAACAGCATTCAAACAACTTTTGTTGATAATTCTACAACTATTGCATGCATGTTAACTAAAAGCATAAAAATCTTAACCAGAAGATATGAACAAAATAATTGAGTAATTTTTAAAGCAAAAATGCACAATTTACCAATATATAAGGGAAATAAAAAACTGAGCACATGATTCTGCCACTGGTACTTTTAGCAGCTTTTGATATCCGCCATGGCTGATGGTTAAGGCATACAGATGAAGATAACAAAACTGGATTTCAACAAATCATTCAATCTTTAGTTTTGCACATATCAAAAATCATCTTTTTACAGACAGGATATTTTTTAATTACAGTGAGAACACAAAAATCTCCATATACACAGGTTTTTATGACATAAGCAGTTTGGACAGGACAGCAAAAGCAGCGCAGGGTCGTTTACAGGATAAATGCTAGGGAAAGGAATGACATAGTTGCTGAGTATTTATACGTAGTAGATGCAGAAAGTACTTGAGGCTGTGATTGGTTAATTTTTAGTTACCTTTTTCAAGCAGCATTATGCAACATGGAAAGATCTTGAATTTGGAATAAGAGATGAATTTAGGGGAAAGAACACCAAATCTAG